GCACCATAGCAGAAAATGTTTCCAAGGCCTTTCCCTGGTTGGGGGACCACACAGAACTTGACAGAAGTACTCAGCCCCCTTAGTCCCCGAGCCCTTGTACCTCTAAAGAAGGCAACCTCACCCGGCTGGTGTGGCTCAGTGGATTGAGCGTTGTCCCATGGACTGCGAGGTCCTGGTTCAGTTCCCGGTTAGAACACATGCCCTGGTTGCAGGCTTGATCTCTGGTGGGTGTGCAGGAGGCAGATGATTGGTGTTTCTCTCTCATATCAGTGTTTCTATCTCTCCCAAAACTCAATAAAAACATATTTTTAAAAAAAGGCAATCTCTCTCTTGCCCTGGCTGGTTTGGCTCAGTGATTATAGTGTTGGCCCGCGGACCAGAGAGTCCCGGGTTCGGTTCCCACTAAGGGCACGTACCTTGGTTTCACTTTGTCCCCAGCCCTGGTTGGGGTCGTGGGGGTGGCAACCACTTGATGTGTCTCTCTCGCATCGATGTTTCTCTCTCTCTTCCTCCTCCTTTCCCTTCCGCTCTACCTGAAGATAAGTGTAAAAATGTCCTTGGGTGAGGATAAAAAAATAAATGAATAAAAATAAAAAAGGCAGTCTCTGTTTACTAAGCAAGGTGCTGTGACAGTGCTTTATAGCAACCTCCGTGACATGGCCAAGAGGAGCTGTGGAAAAGCCCATACCACCTTTAATTTCTCTGCCTTGTCTAGTGTTAGGTTTAGGGCCAGTGCCCCAAAGGTCACTGCTGAATTAGAAAGAGCATCCCCACAGGGGTGTCCTGGGACCCAATCCTGCCCCTCAGAGGTCTGAGCACAGTGGCAGCTCTCAGATCAGCCCCGCCCCTCCCTCCAAGCTGGCCTACTGGAATACAGCAATAACCATCATTCACCACCTCTTGGTTCTCTTGACAGTTTTAAACATCTGACTGGATCTCGTGGCCTTCTCCCTCAGAATCTCCTGTGTCTCTGCGAAGGCGTCCTGGAGTTACTTCTTGGAGTGTCAGCGGAAGCAGAGGAGGGGAACTGGGTTGGGTGGGCATTAGATGCGGGAGGGGGGTGGCGAGCTTGCTAGCTGGCAATAAAGCAGCAGTGGACTTGCCCCAAGGCCACATGTGCCTGGTCAGGCTGGCTTCTGATGTTCAGTCCCCTGGGCCGGGACAGATTTTTTTTAACGTCTTGAAACTTAAAACTCTGTGCTTGTAGGAGACTGTAACCTTTTTGTCTCTCTCTCTCTTTTTTTTTAAACAAACAACCTCCACCTCCAGTGGCTGTGACTGGTCCCAGTGATTGTACCTTATTGGTCGCTATGGGTCTGGGCGGGCCTGGAGCCAGAAGGCGGCTACTGTTCCTCCCCCAAGCCACCCGATGTGGGAAGGGAGAGAGGTTTCAGACTCTAGTTCCTCTCCCTTGCCCTCTTATTCTCAAGCCTCCTTGGGCCCAGTAGAAGCGGTGGCCAGCTTCCTGAGCTCTGCCTAAAAATGGCTACCCAGCACTGGTTGGGGTCAAGGGCTGAACCAGTGGCCACCAGCCATGCCTAGGAGTTGGAGCCAGAAAGCCAGGCAACCCCTGGCCACAGGGGCTACTTCAAACCCTCCCAGCTGAGAGGGGCCACTGTTTAGCCTTGTCAGTCAGTGCAGTGCCTGTGCTAGAGGTGGAGAGGCGAGTCCTATCAGATTCCTGGCTGGGGCCCTCCCACCCGCTCTTGCTCCTCTGCTCCCATGCTCACTGTTACCTTTTCTTATTCTTGTGGATCCTCTCTCCCCTAATTAAAGTCTCTTTTTGCCCCTTTGGGGCTGCATGAGGTCTGTGCTCTGTGTATGTATGTGAAGAGGGGAGGTGGGGCTTTTTTTTTTTTGGTAAGACCATGTGGCTGGTACTTGGGCCTAGGGTTACCACCAGAGGCAGTCTTATGGTGGTCCCTGTCATTATCCCTGCCAGGGCCACAATCCAGAGATCTCCATTGCAGTCTAGGCACCAACTATTTCTAAAACTGCTCTCTCTGCCTATAAAGAGCTTTTGTCCTTTTCATCTACTAACCTCATTGCGGCTAAAAGCCAACCTCAGAGAGAGAATGGTCCCATTTTATGGCTAAAGAAACTGAGGTTCCATGAGATGTAGCAGCTTGCCCTAAATCTAGCCAGTGAGCAAGAAGGTAAATTTCAAATTTAAGACTTCTGCCTCTGCCAATGCTAAGACAGTAATCAGTAGCCATGTATGGCTACATTTAAATTATTCAAACTAAATGAGCTCTAAAATTCACTTCCTCAGGCCCACCAGCAACATTTCAAGTGCTCAGTAGCTACCGGTAACTAATGCCTACCATATCAGATGGTACATATGTAGAACATTTCCATCATCACAGAAAGCTTTGTTGGACAGTGCTAGACTTGGTGAAATCTTGAAGTAAACAAAAACTTGTAATTGAGTCCCAACTTTTGCCGCTGAATTTGAGCAAGTTAGTTTATATTCTGTGCCTCAGTTTCTTAATCTATAAAGTGGGGATAACGTAAACAATTTGACATGGTACCTGCAATGCGGATACTAAGTAAACAATAGATCTTTTCACCAGCCCACTATCCAAGCTAATAACCTTCATCAAGCTAGATACAGGGGATGACATCCCTGTCTTGGAGAGATCTGGGGGACTAGTAAAAGCTAGGTGTGTAAATAAGTGTGCTGAAGTGCCTCACATTCACAAAGTCTGGGAGCCCACAGGGCACATATTTATGGGAGAGGGTGCGAGGAAGTTTCAGAGGGGTTGGCCTTTGAGCTGAGCTTTCAAAAGAGTTTCTTCCACATGGCCAAAGGGTCTCGAAATGGATAAGGTGATGTTAAAGGGAGGAGGGGCTGGGGGCAAGTTGGATGCTATTGTCCCCTTTATGACTTATTTCTGTGACCTCTTTCCTCCTTCCTTATAGAATGAGGGAAGAGGTCACAGTGAATGTTAAAGGTGCTAACAGGGAAGTTGATGTCCACTATAGAGCAGGACAGCTGCTTAGCCCTCACAGGACAGCATTGCCTGGGTGAGCAAGCTGAAACTCATGGATCCATCTCCCAGCATCTGGAGCCCCTAAAACCAATTTGCCCCCTAGTGAGAACAGATAGGATGGTTTCCAATCAGCTGGCCCTCTCCTGGTGGCATACCTTTTGGGAAGTGTAGTCAACAGCCAATGGGGAATGGTTGGGAAGGATGACCTGAGTGGTTGGGTTTGGCTGGACAGCTAGGTGGAGGGCCCACCTTCACTGAATGGGCAGATCTAGCCAGTGACAACACAAGGATGGATACTTTCTTCCCTTCACTCTTAAATGGGCACTGTTAGAGTTTGCCTCTCCAACTGCCCATATTTCCATGACCAATAAACAATCTAGAATAATAACATGGACTTATGTTTAAGAGCGGGGCCTTGGAGTCAGCTCTGGGTTCCAATGCTGGCGGTACTGTGTGATGAGGCAAATTAACATCTTGGAGTCTCACTTGTGACTTATGAGGATACTACATTACCACTACCTCCAAAAAGGTTGCTTAGTCTTGAGGGCTGTGCATAGCTTCCGTTATATTTTTTTCTGCAGTTGACTCAAATGATTTTCTGTTTTTGTATTTCCAAGTTATTGCCGGATCAGGGTTGGGGGAAGTTTGCCCTGCTCTTGATTATTGTTTCCTGCATATACTGTCTCAAATCTGTGCCCAAGGACCTGCTCCTAGCCCCATCTGTCAAGACCTGCAGATGCGATCCCACCTCACCAGGCTACAGCCACATTGGCTGCCTTTTAGTTCCCCAGAAAGGTTCTTACCTTCCTCAGGGCTGTTGCTAAGACTTGCCTCTCCCTAGAATGCTATTCTTGCCCTCTTCCCTGGTGAACTCCTGACTGCCTTTGCATTCTGTAAGGCTTTGGCTTAAATGTCACCTCTTCAGAGAACATCCTTGACTGCCTTATGCAAAATATGTTCCTTCCTGGTTTTAGTTCATTGTCCTTACCATACTTAAGTTGTTTTATACCTTTGCTGCTTACTTTTTGTTTTCACTGGGTTGTAAACTCCATGAAGTCAGGGACCACCTAGCCCATTGCCTAGCACGTGGCCCTTTATAAATACTGTGGAATGACTGAAGCCCCAGGAAGTGCTCGATGAGGAACCATGGCACTGATAGTAACTGGCAACCCGGTGCTGTGCGCTTCCACCATCAGTGCTCTGCTCATCAAGGCAGGAGCAGGTGAGGCTCATAGTTCACCGGTTGGAGAGAGCCTCGGAACTAGCCAACAGCGGCCTGATTGTGGCGAGGAATGGTTTCCAAGGCGACAATAAACAGAGGGCAGAGCCTGGGAACCGAGAGCCCAGCTCCGGCTTCTCAGGGCCCTCCCGCGAGAGGCGGGCGGGGGAGGTTGCGCGCGACGAGGAGCGCATGCAGGGACCCCGCGCGGCACTGATCCTGAGCGCGGGGGAGCTGAGAGTCACAAGCCGGTGCTCCGCCACCTCGTACCGCCAGGAGGGCGGCCTGGTATGCAGCTGGCCGCGGAAGCCGCAGCCGCCTGAGCCACGCACCAGTTCCCCCATCCCATGGCCCTGGGCACGCCACTTGGAGTTCCGGCCTCCAGAGACGCAGCTGTGGCCCGGGCCCGCCTCCGCCGGTCCCAGCGGGGCTCGTGCTGGTTGCAAACGCCTGGCCGGCAGCCCTGCCTCAGCGCGCCGAGTCTTGGAGTCGCTTGCCCATGGCACTCCCGCCCAGGGTGCCGCGGATCAACGCCCCCTCGGGGCCCCGCACACCCCGGCCCTTGATGATGCCCAGCTACAGGACGGTGAGGCCCACTGCGGTCGGCTATCTTGGCCTGAGGCGGTGGAGGCGAGGACTGGCAGACTTGGGGTGAAGGGAATGGGGGTCGGGGGAAGAGTGATAGAGGGTGGGCATTCGGATGAAGGGTGGAGAAAGAGAATGAGCGTGGGCATTGGGGGGCAGGAGAGACGCTGGGTTGAGTCCCCACTACACATTTTCCCGCAGGTTCCCTTGTCTTCTGGCCAGGAGTGTCCAAGGCGTCTCATCACATGGGCCGGCTCAGAAACGCCAAGATCTATGTGGAGAGAGCTGTCAAGGTCAGAGGGGGCTGGGCAGTGTGGAGGTGGTGGAGGTTGTTCTAGAGTGGCTCAACCTGTCTCCTTGAACTAATTTATTCCATCCTTGATAAAACAAACAAAAAACCCCTTGATCCCACACCCATCTTCAAATACCTTCCTATTGTTGATATCCCTTCACTTAGACTTTTCACTTAGGAGACTTGTCTACTTTGTTTGTTTGTTTTTTTGTTTGTTAATCCTCACCCTAGGATTTTTTCCATTGATTTTTTTAGAGGGAGTGGAAGAGAGGGAGGGAAGGGGGGAGAGAGAGACAGACAGACATCCATAGACACATCAGATTGGTTGCCTCCTGTAAGGGCCCCGATTGGGAGGGGATTGAACTTGCAATCCAGCAGATAGATGCCTTTGATGAGGAATCAAAGTGCCTGGGCTGACACTCTATCCACTGAACCACACTGGCCAGGGCAGACTTGTCTACTTCTTTACCTTGGGATTCACTTCTTAGCTCCCACCACTCTGCTTCTGTACCCTTTCCCACTTCCTTCAGAACCACTCCCGTCAAGGTCACTAGGGACCCCCCAGGAGCAGGCCCTTTTCTGTCATAATCTTGGTTGGGCACCCTGTGTCATTGTGTACCGCTGCCCTTCACACCCTTTCCTCTTGGCTGTCCGTTCACCTCTAGTTTTCCTTTCTCCCTGGCTGCTGCTTTTCAGTTGTCTTTGAAGGTGCCTGGGACTTTAGTGGTTCCCTGGATCCCTCCCCACACCTGTCTCCTTGGCTGTGAGTCCAGACAGTGCTGTGCCTCCTACATGCCCTTTCTTGCACAGTCTGTGCTCTAACTCTGCACTTGGTAGATCCAGCCGCCTTCTTGACATCTCCATCCAAATAACTTACAGTGATTTTTTAGGGAGGGAGAGGGTGAGGGAGAGAGAGAGAGAGAGAGAGAGAGAGAGAGAGAAACATTGATGTGAGACTATAACATCAATCAGCTGCCTCCTGCACACCCCCTGCCAGGGATTGAGCCCATAACCTGGGCATGTGCCCTGACCGGGAATTGAACCAGCAACCTACTGGTGCACAGGATGATGCCCAACCAACTGAGCCACACCAGCCAGGGCCCAAACCATATTCTTGATTATCCTGCCTCAACCTGCCATCACTAGTCTCTGGTCTTCCCCATCTCCTAGTTGCTCAAGCAGAAATTTGATCTTTCTGTTCATTCACCCATACATCTACTCCCATTAGCAAAACCAGTCATCTCTGTTTCCAGAACAAGTCTCAACTCTATTACCTTCTCCCCTTCTCCACGGTAGCCACCCTCATTCTAGCTACCATGATTTCTCTCCTACACAAACTACAACCACTTTCTAATTGACCTCCCTACTTCCTTTCTTGTGTCCTCTATCTAGTTTCCAGACAGCAACAAGCTAAACTTGTAAAGCCTTCAGTCACGGCACTCCCTCACTTAGCCTTTAGTGCTTCACAATGCTGTTGATATAAAATTCAAGACTATTTCTAAAGCCTGCAGGGCCTTCCACAGTCTAACCATGACCTATCTCTTCAAGAGCTCTCCCCTCATTTCCACCCTCATCCTGGCCTCCTTCCAGTTCCTTCAACTTCTCTCCAACCTCAAGACCTTTGCACATGCTATTCCCTTTGCCCGAACTACCATTTACCCAGCTCTGTTAATTCATGGCTCCTTCTTCACCTTCACCGACTGTATATGTATTTCTAGTTCCTCTGGATCCCCATTAAGTATCCAGTTTTTGGAGCCAGCCAGCCTGGATTTAAATCTTTTTCACTTAACCACTGTGTGGCCAAACTACTCAACCCCTCTGTGCTCTGTTTCATAACCAGTTAAATGGGGACAATAGCATCTGTTAAAAATGTGTTATTGCCCTGGCTGGTTTGGCTCAGCGGTTAGTATTGGCCCGTGGACCAGAGAGTCTGGGTTCGGTTTCTGCTAAGGGCACGTACCTTGGTTGCAGTTTGTCCCCAGCCCCGGTTGGGATTGTGTGGGTGACAACCACTTGATGTGTCTCTGTCACATGGGTATTTCTCTCTCTCTCTTCCTACCTCTCTCCCTCCCGCTCTGTCTGAAGATAAATGCAAGAATGTTCTCAGGTGAGGATTAAAAAAAAATATATATATATATATATATATATATATATATTCAATAATATATATAAATGCTTAGTACATAGTAGCTGTTCAATAAATACCAACTATTACCATCATAATTTTGACTGTGCATATTTATTTATCTGCTTGTTTATAATCTGTCTCCTCTACTATCAAAATTTCCTGAAGGCAGAGCCCATACTGTCTGGTTCACAATCCCCTATGTCTGGCACTTAGGTGGTACTTACTGAACAAATATCCTTCTCTCACCTTACAGCAGAAGAAAATCTTTATGATCCAAGGCCGCTACCCGGTAATCCGGTGTCTCTTGCGCAAGAGGGGCTGGGTGGAGAAGAAGATGGTCCATTCCTCGGGCACTACTATACCGCCACCCCAGAAGCATCTGGATATCTCAGTAATGGGTGATAGTGAAACCACTGAGGATGGTGAGCAGTTCCCTCCGTTTCCACAAGCTGCCTCTCCCGAGTCCCTTTCCTTTGGTTCTCACTGTCCCAGGGTTGAGACTTTGGTATGGGCCTATGGGGCAGGGACAGGGGCCTCACCAGGCCTGGGCTCTGCATTTGCAGAAGATCAAGATGAGGATGAGGAGTTCCAGCCACCACAACTGTTCGACTCTGATGATGTACTGGAATATGATGACCTAGATGGGACACATGCTCTGATGGTGAGGGCCCAAGGGATGGCCAGGGGTCTGCTTATTTGGAGGGAGAGCACTAAAGTCCAGCTGGATGACTGCAGACAAGTCCTTTCCTTCTCTGAGCCTCAGTTTCCTCATCTGCAGTAAAAACCGATTGCTTCTCTAAAGCCTGGATGGGCCAGCAGAGTGATGAAGGACACACTGGGGCTCAGACAAGGCTGGCCTGGGGTCAACTCAGCTAGGTGGTATCAGAAGCTGGCACAAATTTCATGCCTGGAAATTCCCCCTTCCAAATAAAAACCATATAGTTCATCTTCCTCTGCTCTTGGCAAGCAAAGGCTGGAAGGAAGGGCTTATGAAGCTCTGAAAGAAGCTGATATGATGGTGTGGAGGATACGTGTGTTAAGGTGAGGATACTTGGCTTCAAGTTTTGCCACCACCAGTTACTAAGTTAAACTATACTAAATTGCCATTTTGTATGCCAGGAAAGGTTGAGTATTGGCAGTTTCATATGGCCCAAAACCATGTTAGAAGTCACTTACCCTCCCTGTGCCTCAGTTTCCTCGTTTGTGAAAAGAGGATAACAGTGGCATCTGCCTCATAGGGGTGTGGTGAGGGTTAAATGAGTTGAACATGGTCTAGTACATGGTGGTGTTGCTTATTAATAATCCTACCCCCCAGAGTTGTAGGAAAGAGAGATATAGAATCTTTGTCACATGCTATGTGCTCATCAGCTTGCAAGCACTGTTCTGCTGCTGAGCAAGTCATTGATGGCCATGGGCTAGAACGAGTTGCAGTATTCAGCTGTATGGCTTAGTCATTGCCTAGGGGCACTTGGCCACAGGAGGCTGCAAGCCCATCTGTTCCCTGCTCACCAAGTGTATGCCCTGTAGGAAGAGCTGTCTTTTTTTATTTTACACAAAGATGGTGTGTGGGCTAGAGGCCACCTTGAAAGCATCCTCTCTTTCCATTCACTCACCCTGCTCAGCAGGGTGGGAAGGAGCCTCCAACCTTGTGCTACCCACACCAGCCTCCCCTGTTTCCTCTCCCTAGTCCCGCATGGTTCGGAATGAGATCCCCTACTTCATCTGGACCACTCGGCGGGATGTGCTGGACTGTCGCTTCCTCTCCAAGGAGCAAATGATAAACCACTATGCCCGGGCTGGCTCCTTTACCACAAAGGTGGGCTCCTCAGGGGAGTGGGCATGACAGCTTCCAACCCCTGAGCCCTTGGGCCAGCAACCCAGTTCCCTACTATCCTTGTCCATAACAGAGACTTCTCAGGAGGGGTTTGGTATGTAAGTCAGCAGGATTTGGAGTCGGACAGTTGGGTTCAAATCCAACCCCTGCAGCATGTCTGGAACATGTAGACCATGACTAAAATAGACTCCAGGCCCTGGCCGGTTTGGCTCAGCAGTTAGAGCGTCCGCCTGCGGTCCGGAGAGGCCCGGGTTCGGTTCCCGCTAAGGGCATGTACCTCGGTTGCAGTTTGTCCCCGGCTCTGGTTGGTCGAGCGGGCGGCAGCCACTCGATGTGTCCCTTTCACATCGATGTTTCCCTCTCTCTCTCTTCCTCTCTCTCCCTCCCACTCTGTCTGTACAAAAAAATGGAAAAATGTCCTCGGATGAGGATTAAAAAAATAATAATAAAATAGACTCCAGGATCCAAATGGGATCTGGAGCCAGAATAAACACCAAGTCCAATGACTGAGCAAGAAGGCCCTTACCTCCTAAGGAGGGGCTATCAGGCTGATGGCTGATCGATCCATTCTTTTTTTTTTTTTTTATCCTCACCCAAGGACATTTTTTGCATTTATCTTCGGATAGAGCGGGAGGGAGAGAGGGAGGAAGAGAGAGAAACATTGATGTGAGAGAGACACATCGACTGGCTGCCACCCACAGGACCCCAACCCGGGCCGGGAACAAACTGCAACTGAGGTGCATGCCCTTAGTGGGAACCAAACCCGGGACTCGGGCTGATGTTCTAACTGCTGAGCTAAACCGGCCAGGGCCTGATGGATCCATTCTATCTTACTTGGGTGTATTAACAAGTGATTTCACCTCTCTGAGCCTCAGTTTCCCCATCTTTAAATGAGAATACCAGTAAAACTATCTTCTATGATTGTGGCAAGAATGAAGTCTTTATTATTGGGACCTGCTAGTGTATTTTTTGGTGTAGACTGGGAAGGATTCCTAGAGGAAGCAGGTCTTTAAGAATGTGAAAAGGTGGGTAGGAGGAATATGCGGCATTCTTGGCAGAGAGACTGAGTGGGCAAACATACGGAGATGGATATGAGCAAGTCAAGTGCGCAGAGGCTCTGAGAATGTCCAGGCAGTGTCTCCCTGAGCTGTCTGGGTATGTGATGAGTGGGGAGCCCCTGAAAGTTTCTCTGGGCAAGTCCCACACTGCCCCCTCAGCAGCTAACTCCATAGGTGGGTCTATGTCTCAATCTCCGGAATTTGCCATGGTTTGATGAGGCTGATGCTGACTCCTTCTTTCCACGCTGCTACCGCCTGGGGGCTGAGGATGACAAAAAGGCCTTCATAGGTAAGGAGATGCCCAACCCTGTACCTGCAACCCTCCAGCTGAAGGATAAAGGTTCAAGTCCTGGCTCATGTTGGAAAGCAAAGGGCTTCTCTCCTCATGTCCTTGTCCACGCCAACAAAATTCCTTCTCCATCCCTAATCCTTATCTTTTCCTAATGTGCCTCCCTTAATGAGCCTCCTAGTTTGGTCAACCCAGACCTCCAGAAAATCTTAGGTAACTTAGCTTATATTCTGGAGCTGGTTCTAAAAGTTGGTCAATGGGCTGTTTGGAATTCAGAACGGGTTCCAGGCCTGTGGCAAATTCCAACTGGCTAGATTAGGTTCCTAATCTAGAAAGGGCTCTATACTTTGGACTTCTAAGGCAGAATAGTTTCCAACTCCAGAACTGATTCTAAATTTGGGTCAGAATTTGGGTCCAGAGTAGAAGCTAGGTTTAAATTAGTCTCCAAATTTGAAATAGGTTTTGGGCCAAGGTTTGGTGTTCAGGCTAGAATAAGTATCAAGTCTATCAGGAACAAAGAGAAATCAGACAACAGGTCTAGGTGAGATTCTGAAGGTAGAATATATGAGCCAAATTGGGTCAGATTCTGGTCTGGTTCTACAGTTGAAATAGGAGCCAGGCTCTACCAGGTTCTAGAGTCAGAAGGTAGTCAGGTTCTGGATCCAGAATGGAGCAGGTCATGATCAGGTTCCGGAACCAGAACAGGCCGGGAGCCTAGGGGCTGAGCAGAGTGTCCCCTGTCCCGGGAGCAGAGGACTTCTGGTTGACAGCTGCCCGCAACGTTCTCAAGCTTGTGGTCAAGTCCGAATGGAAGTCATATTCTATCCAGGCAAAAGAGGAAGAGGCCACAGGTAAGTACTGTGTGGTTCCCTCCACTCCCCCACCCATTTGTCCTCCAACACACCCACCCATCTATTCATTATTCATCCACACATTTATCTATGTATTATCCACATCCATCTGCCCATCCACCACCCATTCCCACCAACCCATCCATATATCTACCCACTCCCTGTCCTTCCATCCATCTACTCATCTGTCCATCTACCTACCTACTCACACACCTTCCCACCGATCTCACATTCACCTATTCATGCGTCCATTCATCCATCTATCCACCTGTCCCCACATTGTTGATCTACTCATTCACCTACCTTCTCTCAGCAACACACTTTTTCAAAAAATTGTTATTTTCAACGTTACTCCTTTTTTCCCCCATTGACCCAGTCCGACCCACCTCCTGCCTTCCCCACACTATTATCTGTGTCCATTGGTTATGCATATATGCATATAAGTTCTTTGGTTTATCTCTCTCCATCTCATCCCTACTCCTTTTTCCTCTGAGGTTTGTCAGTCTGTTCCTTACTTCCATGTCTCTGGATCTATTTTGATCGTCAGCTTATTTTGTTCATTATATTCCATAAATAAGTGAGATCATGTGGTACTTGTCTTCTCTGACTGGCTTATTTAACTTAACATAATACTCTCCATGTCATCTCAAAGGGTAAGAGACCTTTCTTTCTTATAGCTGCATAGTGTTCCATTGTGTAAATGTACCACAGCTTTTTTATCCACTCATCTACTGATGGGCACTTGGGCTGTTTCCAGACCTTAGCTGTTGTAAATAGCACTGCTATGAACATAGGGGTGCATATATTCTTTCTGATTGGTGTTTCAGGTTTCTTAGGATATAGTCCAAAAAGTGGGATTGCCCTGGCCGGTTTGGCTCAGCAGTTAGAGCGTCAGCCTGCAGTCCAGAGAGACCCAGGTTTGGTTCCCACTAAGGGCACGTACCTCGGTTGCGGTTTGTCTCCCGCCCTGGTTGGTCGTGTGGATGGCAACCACTTGATGTGTCCCTTTCACGTCAATGTTTCTCTCTCTTTCTTCCTCCCTCTCCCTCCCACTCTATCTGAACAAAAAAAATAGAAAAATGTCCTCGGGTAAGGATTAAAAAAAAAAAAAGAAGAAGTGGGTCAAATGGCAGTTCTATTTTTAATTTTGGGGAGAAACACCATATTGTTTTCCATAGTGACTGCACCAGTCTGCATTCCCACCAGCAGTGTACCGAAGTACCCTTTTCTCCACATCCTTGCCAGCACTTGTTTGATGATTCGTTGATGGCAGCAATTCTGGCAGGTGTGAGGTGTTACCTCAGTTGTTTTAATTAGCATCTCTCTGATGATTAGTAACTCAGCATTTTTTTATGTGTCTCTTGGCCATTTGTATGTCCTGTTTGGAGAAGCATCTATGTAGGTCCTCTGCCCATTTTTTAATTGGATTGTTTGTCTTTCTTTTGTTGAGCTGTATGATACTATATATTTTGGAAATTAACCCATTATCTGCTGTATTATTGGCATATATGTTCTCCCACACAAGTGGGTTTCCTTTTCATTTTGATGCTGGTTTCTTTTGCTGTGCAGGAGCTTTTTAGTTTGACATAGTCCCGTTTATTAATTTTTTCTCTTGCCCTAGGTGATGTATTGGTGGAAATTCTGCTCCATGTGATGTCTGAGATTTTGCTGCCTATGTTTTCTTCTAAGATTTTTATGGTTTCAGGACTTATATTTAAGTCTTTTATCTATTTTGAGTTTATTCTTGTGTATGGTAGAAGTTGGTGGTCTAGTTCCATATTTTCTGCATGTACTTGTCCAATTTTCCCAACACCATTTATTGAAGAGACTGTCTTTTCTCCATTGTATGCTCTGGCCTCCTTTGTCAAATATTAATTGTGCATAATGTCTTGGGTTGAATTCTGGGTTCTCTGTTCTGTTCCATTGATTTATATGCCTGTTCTAGTGCCAGTACCATGCTGTTTTGGTTACGATGGCTTTGTAGTATAACTTGATATCTGGTCTTGTTGGATCCCTTTAACTTCGTTCTTCTTTTTCAAGATTGCTGTGGCTATTGGGATCTTTTTTAGTTCCATATAAACTTTTGGAGTCTTTGTTCTAGATCTGTGGAATACATAGTTGGTACTTTAATAGGGATTGCATTGAATCTGTAGATTGTTTGGAGTACTATGGACATTTTAATGATGTTGATTCTTCCAGACCATAAACATGGTAAATGCTTCCACTTTTTATATCTTCCTCTATTTCTTTTCTCAATGTCCTGTAGTTTTCTGAGAACATATCTTTGCCTCCTTGGTTAAATTTATTTCTAGCTATCTTAATTTTTTTGTTGCAATGGTAAATGGGATGGTTTCTTTAGTTTCCCTTTCTGAGTAAGTGTTCATTATTGGTATATAAGGATGCCATTGATTTCTGGATGTTAATTTTGTATCCTGCTATTTTTCTGAATTAATTTATTAAAGCTAGTAGTTTTTTGATGGAGTCTTAGGGTTTTCTATGTACAGTATCATGTCATCTGCAAATAATGAGTTTCACTTCCTCCTTTCCAATTTTGATGCCTTTTATTTTTTCTTCTTGTCTGATCACTGTGGCTAAGACTTCTAGTACTATGTTGAGTAAGAGTGGCAAAAGTGGACATCCCTGTCTTGTTCCTGTTCTTAAGGGAAATGCTTTTAGTTTTTGCCCATTGAGTATGATGTTGGATGTAGGTTTTTCATATATGGCCTTTATTACATTGAGATATGATCCCTCTATTCCTGCTTTGCTGAGTGTTTTTATCAAAAATGGGTGCTGGATTTTGTCAAATGCTTTTTCAGCATCTGTTGATATGATCATATGATTTTTATCTTTTATTTTGTTTATGTGGTGTATCACATTTACAAATATTGTACCAGCCTTGCATCCCTGGGATAAATCCCTTTGGTTGTGGTGAATAATTTTTAATGTATTGCTGGATCTGATTTGCTAATTTTTAAGAACTTTTTTTTTCTTTATTGATTTAAATTTTTTAAAATTGATTTTAGAGAGAAAAGAAGGGAGAGGGAGAGAGAGATAGAAACATCGATGAGAGAGGACAATGATTGGCTGCCTCCTGCATGCCCCGACCTGGGCATGTGCTCTGACCGGGAATCAAACAGGCAAACTCTTGGTGTGTGGGTCGATGCTCATCTACTGAGCCATACTGGTCAGGCCCGATTTGCTAATATTTTGTTGAGAATTTTGGTATCTATGTTCATCACAGATATTGGCCTGTAATTTTCTTTCTTTTGTAGTGTCTTTATTTGGTTTTGGAATTAGGATTATGCTGGCCTCATAAAAAGAGCTTGGCAGTCTTCCTTCTTCTTGACTTTTTTGAAATAATTTGAGAAGAATTGGTGTTAGTTCTTTGAATGTTAGGTAAAACTCCTCTGTGAAGCCATATGGGCCAGGACTTTTTTTTTTATCCTCACCTGAGGACATTTTTTGCATTTATCTTCAGATAGAGCGGGAGGGAGAGAGGGGTGAAGAGAGAGAGAGAAACATCGATGTGAGAGAGACACATTGACTGGTTGCCACGCACACAACCCCAATTGGGCGAAGGGACAAACTGCAACCAAGGTATATGCCCTTAGCGGGAACTGAACCCGGATCTCTCTGGTCTGCGGGTCAACGCTCTAACTGCTGAGCCAAACTGGCCAGGGCAGGACGTTTTTTTTTTAGCAAAACACATTCTATCTATCTCTCTATTCCTCTACCTTCTTACCTATCCTTCCACAGACCCATCTGCCCATCTATCCACTTGCTTTCCCATCCTACTATCCACCACCTATCTATCCTCCAGTCCATCACTCATCTATTCTTCTGTACCAACGACCTACCTATCTTCCTATCCATTTATTAATTGATCCACTGCCTCATTCAGTCCTCCCATGGGCCTGGCATGTGGCCAAGCTCTCTAGTCAGGACAGACTAAGAGGACAGACTAAGTCCTGTCTGGGGGGAGCTCAGGTCTCTAGGGAGGAGGAAACAGTGTAGTTTCACGTGGTCAAAGGATTCCTTGTGCCTTGTGGAGGGGGACACAGAGAATGCCACACTCCATGTTGGCCCAACCTATTGTTTGCCCTCTCCCTCTCTGGAGTTGGCTCCTATCTCAAAGTCCCCATACTATAATCCAGGACCTATCAGCCAGGGATTCAGTGACATAAGGGGCAGCTCTACTGGGAGGTGGGAAAACCCTTTCTCTTCCAGAGGGAAACCTCCCCATTGTTATTCTCTGGGTATGTCAGGTGCAAAGAAGACTGCTGTATGCCAGGATCAGGGGCACAAGGGTCACACGTGTGTCAGAGGTCCCAGGAGCAGAGAGACTGCAGGTGTGTTTGGGGCTATAGGTGCTGAGAGGTCCTGGGGACAGTTTGGATGGACACGCAAGTGAGTGACAGATCCTGGGACAGTGGGGGCCAAGGATGAGTACTAGGGTCTCAGGTGAATTTAGAAGAAAGCCTCAGGTAAGTGACAGGTTCCAGGACAGTAAGAGATGCAGGTGTGTTCTGGGCCTCAGGTGTATTTAGGATGAGTTCTCAGGTAAGTGACAGGCCTTGGAGCTGTGGGTGCCATGGCATGTATCAGATTACCTGTCAGATAGTGACAGGCCCCTCCCTACCTCCGCAGGAGACAAGCAGCCCAAGAAACAGGAGAAAAAGCTGGTGATGGTGTCCCCAGAGTTTGTGGATGAAGCTCTGTGTGCCTGTGAGGAGCATCTCAGCAACCTAGCCCATCTGGACATTGACCGGGACCTGGAGGCTCCATTGTCCCTCAGCCCTGAGGGCTGGTCCCTCTTTCTCCGGCGCTACTACCAAGTGGTCCAGTGAGTAACTCTGCAGCCATGGTGTGGGGCATGGGCAGGTGCCCCTTGCTCTAGGGGGCTTCCATGTTCTGAACTAATGCTCAATCAGAGACAAACCCTCTCTTTCTAGTACAGACCCCCACCTCCTCCCTAAGCCTCCCCCGTTTGTTCACCCTGTTACTCTCCTGCTCAAGAACTCTCAAGGGCTCCCACTGCCTTCATGATAGGGTGCAAACCATTCTTCCTGGATCTTGGTGAAGCATAGTCACAAAGATCATGGCTTGTGCTGTCAGGTAGACCTCAATTTAAGTCCTGGCTTTGCAACTTTCAAGCTCTGTGACCTTGGGAATGTCACTAATCTTTTTGAGTTTTACTTTTCTCAAATGCAAAATAAACTTTAAAATAATGTCTTCCTCAAAGGTAGGATTAGACAGGATCATTTGTATTATGTGCTGAGCATAGACTCAGTATTCACTCACAAAATAAAATCTATTAAGTCATTTAGATTTTATCCTAGAGGCCAGTGTTTCCCAAAGTGTGTTATATAGGATGATAATTCTATAGGATGTAAATAGATTTTGTGAAAAATAAAAAAATAAAAAAATAAAGGGCTTTTGTGGTCAATCATATTTAGAAAACATTAGGTTAAACAAAGTGAATTAAAACAGGTTTCCTTGCCATGGCCAGTTTGGCTCAGTGGTTAGAGCGTCGGCCTGCGGTCTGGAGAGACCCAGGTTCGGTTCCCGCTAAGGGCACGTACTTTGGTTGCAGTTTGTCCCCGGCCCTGGTTGGTCGTGTGGGTGGCAGCCACTCGATGTGTCCCTTCACGTCGATGTTTCTCTCTCTCTCTCCCTTCCTCTCTCTCCCTCCCACTCTATCTGTACAAAAAATGGAAAAATATCCTCGGGTGAGGAAAAAAAAAAAACAGGTTTCCTTGGTGCAGGGCTTTTCAGAACCTATTGGTATATACCTCAGAGAGAGAGTATACAAATTATGTTGTTTGTTATAACGTTGATGAGATGCTGTAGAAACTTAACTTCTATTTATTTCAATTAGCCTGTGGTAAAATTGGTTTTGTTATATGTCATTTCACTTAGTTGCAGAACCTATTGACAAGGTTAAGTGAGGACTTACTGTATGTCTTGTACTTATGTGACCCTAGCCCCCTTGAGCATCCTGAGGGATTGTGTTTTTTTCTTTCTTTCTTTTTTTTTTATCCTCACACAGGACATTTTTTGATATTTTGTTCAGATAGAGTAGAAGGGAGAGAGAGAGAGAAACATCGACGTGAAAGGGACACATTGAGTGGCTGCCACCCACACGACCAACCAAGGCCAGGGACAAACCGCAACCGAGGTACGTGCCCTTAGTGGGAACCGAACCCGGGTCTCTCTGGACCGCAGGTCAACGCTCCAACCGCTGAGCCAAACCGGCCAGGGCGAGAGTATGTTTTCAGAACCTGCTTTGGGAAAGGGTTCTTGAGCAGAGGAAAGGAGTGTCAAGATGAGACTGGAGCTGTTGCAGGGAGATTCCATTCAGCAGAGGTGTGCAGGAGAGGCTGGAAGGAGACATGTCCTGAAGGCAGGAGAATACTCAGCTTGTGTGCCAAGCATTGTGCCAGGCTCCAGAAATGACACGTAGTCTCTGCCCTCAAGGGACACAAAGCTCAAGTGGGGAGACTTGCAGCAATCCAGGTGGGAGTGATGAGGGCCTCAGCTGGGGTGGGGTTAAGAGGATGGGACAGACTCGATGATTTAATAGGGGAAACTGAAGAACTAATAAATGAACTTTGAATGAATGACATACTGAGAAAACTCACATCATTGATAAATAATTCATTTGTATCTTTTTTAAATGTCAGAAAATGAAAATGACCCTATACTTTCACCTTAGCTACCAGAATATGTAAAGTCACCCTTCTTCTTTTTTTTTTATCCTCACCTGAGGACATTTTTTCCACTTTTTGTTCAGATAGAGTGGGAGGGAGGGAGAAGGAGAGAGAGAGAAACATTGATGTGAAAGGGACACATCGAGTGGCTGCCACCTGCACAACCCAACCAGGGCCAGGGACAAACTGCAATCGAGGTATGTGCCCTTAGGGGGAACCGAACCCGGGTCTCTCTGGGCCATAGGCCGATGTTCCAACCGCTGAGCCAAACAGGCCAGGGCTAAAGTCACTCTTCTTAAACCAAGAATTATCGAGACTGAGTTAGAATATTATGTGAAAAGAACATGTCATATTTATTTCCGGGTATAGGGCAAGTTCTAGAGGGCTGTAGGAACCTCTCAAAAGTCAGAATTTCAGCCCTGGCCGGTTTGGCTCAGCGGTTAGAGCGTTAGCCTGCGGTCCGGAGAGACTCGGGTTCAGTTCCCGCTAAGGGCATGTAACATGGTTGCAGTTTGTCCCCAGCCCTGGTTGGGTCGTGCGGGTGGCAACCACTCGATGTGTCCCTTTCACGTCGATGTTTCTCTCTCTCTCTCTACCTCCCACTCTGTCTGAACAAAAAATGGAAAAATGTCCTCGGGTGAGAATTAAAAAAAAAAAAAAATGTCAGAATTTCATAAATTATTGCATCATATAACATATATAGTGTTGACACCAAGTGGCCAATGAAGTTCCTTGAAGAGTCCCCCTGCCCCCATCTACCCCAAACACCCCCACCCATCCCCCACTCACCCTCAGCTAGATTCCCAGCTAGATCCTCTGGTTGATTCAGCTTGAGCTGAAAAGCTTTCTGGAAGTGGAGAGGGTCTCTCAGCCTTCAACTGAAGTAGTCTGTTGGGCAATCTCCCTGTCCCTCTCCAAATAAATGTTTTGTGTGCGGCTTCCCCCAAAAAAGAAACATATAGTATTGAGTTGTTCAGTATAGATAGTTAGCATTCATTAAAATATTTATTGCTATGCATCTCAATTCCCCCCCATACCCTCTTCTACCTCCCCCACTCCTCTTCCCCTCTAGTAATCACCATGCTGTTGTCTGCGTTTCTCAACTTTTTAAAACAAATCCATGACCCAGCAGCCAGGCTTTGATCAAGGTTGACTTTCCACAAACATACTGGTTGTTTTTCCTTTTTGCTAAATATAAAATTATATTGTCATGTTGAACATACATTTTCAAATTACACATGGCCCTGCCACCCTCAGGTGACACGTTTCTGGGCCAAATGACAGATTAACTGAGTAGAATCTTTGTTCTATGGCCCATGGAAAAGTTTCTAGTAAAACTGGAAACAGAAGCATCAGGACTTAAGTGTGAATAAGAGGACTGCTACATTCCTTCCATCTGGCTGTCCCTGTTCCTGGCACTGCCCCAGTGGTTGCTGCTGCCTCCTAATTAAAAGAGAGATAAGTTCTCCATGGCTGGAGACATTCAAGAGGCTAAGATATTAAAGGGAGGTTAGCATCTAGTGGAGGTTTCCTTCCTATTCAGTCAGAAGAGAAGAAATGGGAGAGTTTGGATGAGGCAGCCATCTGGAGTATTTTGTGACTTGGTTTAATTCAGGACATTTTGTATCCTGTAGGGAACAGGGTCTGTCTTTGTCCATGAACCCCAGTCTGTGCAAACCAGTTGCGGAGGCAAGCTCCTGCCAAAGTACTTGCTTATGCAACCATTCATTCATTTAACAAACTTTTAGGGATCACTGAATAAGTGTCAGATATACTGCTTGGGGATGGGAACATGAGAATAACAGTTACAGAAATGTTCCTGCTCTTATGGAGCTTACATTCCAGTGAGGGGAGACAGATGTAACCAAATAAGCATAGATGTCAGGTGGTAGGCGATAGGAAGAGCAGAGAAATAAAGCAAGGAGATATATGTTATAGACATGCTTGAAAAGAGTCCTGGCCAGTTTGGCTCAGCGGTTGGATCATCGGCCTGAGGACTAGAGAGTCCCGGGTTAGGTTCCCGCTAGGGGCATGTACCAAAAAAAAAAAAAAAAAAAAGGAAAGAATTAGATCAGGAAGGGATTCACCTATTAACCAATGTTAGGTCCGGATGAGAAGGGGAATGAAGCCCCAAAAGCACCTGTGGGTGGAGGTATCAGGTCAGATGGAGTTTGTGTCCTGGCTCAGCCATTTACTTAATTTGTGGCCTTGGGCAAGTCTCTTAACACTCCAAGCTTCAGTTTACACTGCTCTAAAATGGGGCCAGTAATACCTTCCTGGCAAGACCACTGAGAGGATTAGTGATAATATATGTAAAGCCCTTGGCACAGAGCCTGGCACATAGTGGTTCCTCACCATTAGATGTGGTATGATTAAATTCTGCCAAAGGCAATTTTAATATTATGGAAAGGGAGGTGGCAGAAAATGGAGTGTTGGAGTGGGTGTAGAGTGTAATAAGTGGCATTTTCCCATCCTCTCCCATTACAGCAGTCTGGGATGGCACCTGGGCATATTAGAATGTTGGGGGCAGCTTGAAGGTGGGTATGGAGGTTTGGAAGAGACCTACCTGGATCTTTAGGGAGGGGAGGGCATGACCAAGGCCGGTAGGACCATGGGCAGGGTGGCTTGTGTCTCCCTTTGCATTGTCCACCAGGCTGCCCCCAGGCCCAGCCCTGCCCAAGACCCGTCATCTCCCCACAGTGAGGGAGCAAAACTGAGGCACCTGGATGCTCAGGTCCCGCGCTGTGAGGACATCCTGCAGCAGCTGCGGGCCGTGGTGCCCCAGATGGACATGGAAGGAGATCGCAACATCTGGATCGTGAAGCCAGGAGCTAAGTCCCGTGGCCGAGGTGGGTATCAGCCCCTGCTTTTTGCACCAACACCCTGCAGCCTACCGCCCAGACAGAGGCCAAGGCTGTCAATAGTGCAGACTCTATTGGAACCAAACTGCGTGGATTTTATTATCAACTCTGTGATCAGTATGCTGTGTGACCTTAATCAAGTATATCACTCTCTGAACCTGAGTTCCCTCATCTATGAGAGATGATAATACTTCCTATGAGGTGAGGATTACAAGAGGTAGAGTATCTAAAGCTCAGCATGGTGCCTGGCACAGAGTAATCATCCCATAAACGTTGGCTGCTGTGACGATGCCAGCTTCTCTTCTCCTGCCCTCAGAGTTGGGTTGATGCTTTAGGTAAGTCTGGTGATACTCATGTGCAGGTGCTTGTCATCTAAGGGCTCAAGGATTTGGCCAGTGCATCCTTGTGAAGTATATAGCAGAGTGGTTAAGGGTATGGATGCTGGGAGCCAGACTTTCTGGGTTCAAACCCAAGCTCTGCCTCCTACTATTTGTAAAACTGGTCAGGTTAGTTAATCTCTCATGACTCATTTTCATCATTGGTAAAATGAAGTCAATAATAGCTACCCAAGAGGATTAGATGAATATAATATATGTAAAGTACTTAGATCCTGTGCTTTTACATAGTAACTGCTTTGTAAGTGCTATTATTTTTAGCTCTTATTCTGGCTGCTCAGTTCAATGTGAATGGAATCTGAACAGGAGAGCCAGCAAGCTGGGGTGGTGCCTTAGCCCAGTCTTCAAAAGCTGGTTAAGGACTTCTGAGATGTAGAAAACAGACTTTTGGCAGATCCCTCTAAATACTGCCCTTGGATGAATTTGTTCATGTCCAAGTGAAGCTGTTATAGCTCCGGACACTGCGGGACACTCTCTTGGGAATGTCATTTCAAATCCAACATTGTGGTCTCTTTTTCCTACCTTGGAAATAGTTTTGTTGGTTTTTTCCAAGTATGAAAATACATGTTTATTATATATTTTTTTAAAAATTGGACAATACAGAAAAGTAGAAAGACGAAAGCAAAAGCCACCCTGATTACACTGAGATAACTCACTGTTTACCTTTTGGTGTTTTTCTTTCTATACTTCCTTCTGTGCATTCTGAGAGAGGGAGATTTACATTTAAATTTTATTTTAAACAAAAACATACTATTCTGTAGCTTTATTTTTTCATATCTTTCAATGTCAATTAGTATTCATTTATTCTTTGTATATTTCTTTCTTTTTTTTTTTTTTATCTTCACCCGAGGACATTTTTCCATTTATCTTGAGATAGAGTGGGAGGAAGAGAGGGAAGAGAGAGAGAGAAACATCAATGCAAGAGAGACACATCGAGTGGTTGCCACCCACATGACCCCAGTGGGGGCCGGGGACAAACTGTAACCGAGGTAGATGCCCTTAGCGGGAACCAAACCCGGGCCTCTCCGGTCCACAGGCTGATGCTCTAACCACTGAGCAAAACTGGCCAGGGCTATTTCTTTTTTCTTTTTTTTTATCCTCACCCGAGGATATTTTTCCATTTTTTGTACAGATAGAGTGAGAGGGAGAGAGAGGAAGGGAGAGAGAGAGAGAAACATCGACGTGAAGGGTCACATCGAGTGGCTGCCACCCGCACGACCAACCAGGGCTGGGGACAAACTGCAACCGAAGTACGTGCCCTTAGCGGGAACCGAACCCGGGTCTCTCCGGACCGCAGGTCGATGCTCTAACCGCTGAGCCAAACTGGCCAGGGCTATTTCTTTTTTCTTAACAATAGATTTTGGAAATATCCCTATCTCATTACATCAAAATCTGCATTTTTTTCTTTTTGTTTTTAGTTTATTGTTATGGACACTTTAAAAATACACACACTATGCCCTTGCTGGTTTGGCTCAGCTGTTAGAGCATCGGACTGCGGTCCAGAGAGACCCGGGTTCGTACCTCGGTTGCAGTTAGTCCACGGCACTGGTTGGTCGTGAGGGTGGCAACCACTTGATGTGTCTCTTTCATGTCGATGTTTCTCTCTCTCTCTCCCTCTCTCTCTCTAAAATCAATAAAGGAAAAAAAAAAAGAGTGATCTTCATCCATTTAGATCTTTTTAAAAAAATAGTAATAAAAAAATAAAATGAAAATACACACACTAGCAAGAATAATACAATGAATCCCCATGTACCTAGCACAAAATTTAAAAATTTTCTCTCCATTTTTAGAAAAACTTAGTTGAAATGTATATATAATATATCTCATTGAAAAGGGTTTACATTGTGAAAATACAAGTCAATGAATTGTCACAATTGAGGAAACAGCACCCAGGTCATGAAATAAAACATTACCTGGCCTTGCTGCGTAGCTCAGTTGGTTAGAGCATTGTCCCTATATGCCAAAGTTGCAAGTTTGATCCCCTGGTCAGGGCACATACAAGAATCAACCAATGGACCTGGGGGTTAGGGGGCCAAAGAGAGGTGGAGGGGGACAATGGGGGAGAAAAGGGAGACATCTGTAATACTTTCAACAATAAAGATAAATTAAAAAGTGAATCCAGCCCTGGCCGGTTTGGCTCAGCGGTTAGAGTGTCGGCCTGCGATCCAGAGAGACCCGGGTTCAGTTCCCGCTAAGGGCATGTACCTCAGTTGCAGTTTGTCCCCGGCCCTGGTCGGTCATGCGGGTGGCAGCCACTCGATGTGTTCCTTTCACATCGATGTTTCTCTCTCTCTCTGTTCCTCTCTCTTCCTCCCACTCTACCTGAACAGAAAATGGAAAAAGGTCCTCGGGAGAGGATAAAAAAAAAAAAAAAAGTAAATCCACCCATGTTGCACTAAAAGAAAAAAAAATCAACCTATAAATGTATAAATAAGTATAATAAAAAATCAGTGTTTTTCTTTCTTTCTTCCTGTCTCTGAAAGAAAGAAAGAAAGAAAGAAAGAAAGAAAGAAAGAGAGCGAGCTTTAAAAAACATTACCTGCGCCCAAGAGGGCTCCTCCCAGTCTCTACCTCCCCTCAATGGTGATCTCTATTCTGATTTATAATACTATAGATTAGTGTTGCCTGTTTGTGAATTTTATATAAAAGTATATAGTATGTACTCTTACCTCCCTCTGCTTTACAGCTGCATAGTCTAATCATGTTTAGATGTGTTGTCACGGACGTACCTAATCCTTTTCTGATCATATTTAGATGGCTACCAGCTTTCCCCCTATTGATTGATTGCTAGTATAAACAACACTAATGAATATCCTGTGCGACCTTTCCACCTATTTCCTTAGGATAAATTCCTAGAAATTAAATTACTGGGTCAAAAGGGCATAAATAATCTCAATCTTTTTTACTCAAGGTATTGTGTTTTGGGGAAGCTTGGTGATCCTTCTAGCCATTTGAGAAAGGATCTACTTGGGAACTGGCCATAAATTATTTTGTGTCATTGGCAGGAGATCAGGCTGTTTGGGGGCCAAACAATGAAGGAATGAGATTGATTTGTGAGTGTGTGTGTGTGTGTGTGGTTTGCAATTTTTATATTTATCGACATTAAAATGATGCCTTATAAACTAAGATACTTCACTAATTTTAGAAGAGATACAATTTAAATAAGATACCATTTTCTACCCAGGAGAATGGCAAAAAATAAATAATTAACAGTGTTGGGTAGGATGCAGACAAACACAGTCTCATAAATCTCATATACTGTTGCTGGGAGTGCAGATTGGTGTAACATCTTTGGCACTATAAAATGGAAAAATATACATACTTTGGAGCCAGCAGATTCATAGCTAGAAATTTATTCTACAGGTGACTAGTAATAATGGCATGAGTTAACATTTACTGAATGCTCACCATGTGGCAAGCACTATTCTAAATCCTTAACGTGTTTAAGGTTCAATTCCCATTGGGAGGCCTGCAGGAGGCAACCGATCTATGTTTCTCTCTCACATCAATGTTTCTATCTCTCCCTTCCAATCTCTCTAAAAGAAATCAATGAAAACATATTTTTAAAAAATAAAATGTTACAAAACTATTTAAATCATTAGCACATTTTCAACTTTCCCAACGGCAACAGGGTTCTGAACGAGGCAGGCAGCCTTACCTGCTTGGCCCTATCATTTCTGTGGGGATGAGAGCTTATGATGAACTATCCATTGCCTCCAGCTCTTCTCCTAGCTTGAGCCTGCCCTGGTCCCTGACCACTCCATTTCCCCCCTTAGGCATCATGTGCATGGACCATCTGGAGGAGATGCTGAAACTGGTGGATGGTAACCCCATGATGATGAAAGATGGCAAGTGGGTTGTGCAGAAGTATATCGAGCGGCCCCTGCTTATATTTGGCACCAAGTTTGACCTGAGACAGTGGTTCCTGGTGACCGACTGGAACCCACTTACTGTGTGGTTCTACCGTGACAGCTACATCCGCTTTTCCACACAGCCCTTCTCCCTGAAGAACCTGGACAAGTGAGTCCCACCACTCACCTCCCATGAGCTCCCTCCCAGTCTATTTAGGAAGCTGGCAAGGAACCGGCGATTCCAGTACAATGCTGGGCTCCAAACACAGACTGCAGGCAGGCAGGCCCTCCATCCATCCCTCCATCCTTCCATCCATCAGATACCTATGAGTGTGTACCCAGTGCCATTCTCTGTTCCAGGCACTTGGGACACAGCGGTAAACAAAACAAGAGCTCAGCTCTCATGAGTTCACAGTCTAGCAGGGAGGAACAGACAAGCAATGAACATAATAAATAAAATCATCTAATAGGCAATATGAAAAATAAAAAAGAATGGAGAGCTGGGTAAAGGGAGATCAGGAGAAATCCGAGAGGAGAGAGGCAAGTGGCATCATTAGCTTGTTGGGTGAGAGGAAACCTGAGGGAGTCCTGGGTGCAAATTCCATCTCTGCAGCTTCTGAGCTGTGTGACTTTGATCAAGTGAAAACCTACTTAAGTTTCAGTTTCCACATCTGAAGAATGGAAGCAAGTAATATGAAACTCATCATTACAGCTGTCAACTATGGAGTGCTCTGTATGTGACTGGTGCTAAGCACAGCATGCATGTTAGTCATTCATGAAAACCCAGGGACGTGAAAGGAGCATTTGAATTGAATGACTTGCCTAAGGTCTCACAACTAGTTGGTGGACAGGACTTGACCATGTCGAAGTGACTACAGGGCCCATACTTTTTTTTAAAAAAATCCTCACCCGAGGATATTTTTGCATTTCTCTTCAGATAGAGAGGGAGGCAGAGGGGGAGGAGGAGAGAGAAACATCAATTTGAGAGAGACACATCGAGTGATTGCCACCCATACAACATCAACCGGGGCCGGGGACAAACTGCAACCGAGGTACGTGCCCTTAGTGGGAACCAAACCTGGGTTTCTCTGGTCTGCAGGCCGACGCTCTAACCGCTGAGCAAAACCAGCCAGGGCAATACTCTTACCCACCTTATCTTTCAGGCACTGGGATGGTTAACTGATACTATGCTCAAAGCACTTAATACTGTGTTCTCCAGAGTGCCCTTAGAAGAGATCCTGAGAGATAAGACTGCTTCTGGCCCTAGAAGAATATTATGGGCCCCCAGGCCTTTGTCTTTGTCCTCCCCAGCAAGATGAATGGTCTACAGTGGCTCAGGGTTGGGTCCAGGGTTTGCTGGCCCTCCATAGGTTTGAGTGGGAGGGGCAACAGGGCCCAGACCTCAGCTTTCTGCTCTCTGTCCCAGTTCAGTGCACCTGTGCAACAACTCCATCCAGAAGCACCTGGAGAATTCGTGTCATCGGCACCCGATGCTGCCTTCAGACAACATGTGGTCGAGCCAGAAGTTCCAGGCCCACCTGCAGGAGATGGGGGCCCCAGATGCTTGGTCCACTGTCATTGTGCCTGGCATGAAGGCCGCAGTGATCCATGCTCTGCAGACCTCCCAGGACACTGTGCAGTGTCGGAAGGCTAGCTTTGAGCTCTATGGTGCTGACTTTGTGTTTGGTGAAAACTTCCAGCCCTGGTTGATCGAGATCAATGCCAGCCCCACCATGGCGCCTTCCACTTCTGTCACCGCCCGGCTCTGTGCCGGTGTGCAAGCCGATACCCTGCGCGTGGTGATTGACCGTCGGCTGGACCGAAACTGTGACACAGGAGCCTTTGAGCTCATCTACAAGCAGGTGAGGTGGCTGGGCCAGGTAGGACCCCAGGGAGTCTTCACCCTTTCTAAGCAGCCCCATAGTGAAGCACAGGGCACTGCAATCAGACCCAGTTCAAGTCCTGGTCCTGCCACAGTGACTTAGTACATCTGTTTTCTCATCTATAAGATGGAGATGCTACTACCATCTTTCTCTTTGGGTTTGGGAGGATGAAATGAGTTAATTTGTGTGGGTAATATTTCTAGAGAGACGTACCCCTGAACCTCCCTGGGTTCAAATCTCTGCTCAATAACTACAAGCTGGGTGACTTTGAACAACTCTAGGGGGTGGGGGTGGGGTTTTCTCAGTTTCCCCATTTGTAAAGCATGAATGAAAAGAGTACCTACCTCATAAGGTTGTAAGAATTAAATGAGTTGAAAGCACGTTAGAATAGTGCCTGGTACATGGTAAATGCTACAGAGGTTTTAACTGTTGTTACCTAATAAGGTTGTTAGGCATTTCATGATGCATGGCATCACCTGTAAAGTGCCTGGATCTATTGTGAGAGTCAGTTAGTGGAAGCTGCTGCTGCTGCTGCTGCTGCTGCTATTATAGTCACTCTTGCCCAAAAAGAGAGGCAGGGTGGGAAGTACACAGGAATTACTGGTCCATAGAAATTCCAAAATTCAGCCTTAGCATATATTTCTAGTTTTGCTCTTAGGACCCACTGTTACTTCCTAAGAGTTCTCCATGGCTCTTGCTTCCATCCATTGGGATCTCAGTTCAGCCCTGAATCATCCTTCCTTTTCCATGAACATTCTCAATAGTTTCTAGTCTGTTACCTACTCATAGAAATTTGGGGGTACAAAAGCCTTTTCATTTCATATTACATTTGTCTCTTCTAGGCCAAGTTGATGTTTTTAAAAGCCTTGTTTCTTTTCTTTTTTTCTTAATTTTTATTTATTGATATGAGAGAGAGAGAATGAAGTATTAATTTATTGATTCACTGGTTGAGTCTTGGATGTGCCTTGGTCCAGAGATCAAACCTGTAACCTTGGCGTAGCAGGACAATGCTCTAACCAACCGAGTACCTGACCAGGGCCATGTGTTTCTTATGTATCAATTTATAATCCATTCTATTACACAAAAGCCATGTCCACAAATCTAAGAGCTCTTCTCTCTTCTGTGAGACTGCTGTAGCACAACAGCCCTCAAAATTATAGAAGCCCTGCTGTTCGCAGACCTCTGCTAACTCAAATTGTTTTAGAGAATGAAACATAAGACCTACAGCTATGCCCTTGGGATGCTTAAAAGAATTGTAGCTACTTTAAAGGGCCTATAGGCATGACTTAGATCTCTGAAATTTTGTTGTGGCTTTAAAAAAATTGAGATGTAATTTACATATAACATTATATTAATTTCAGGAGTACAACATAATGACGATATTTGTATATATTGTGAAAGGATCACCACATTAAGTCTAGTTAACATCCATCACCACATGTAGTTAACAAGTTTTTTTCTTGCGATGAGAGCTTTTAAGATCTATTGTCCTAGTACCTTTCAAATATACAACACAGTATTATTAACTATAGTCACCATGCTGTATATTATATCCCTATGACTTATTTATTTTGCAACTGCAAGTTTGACCACATTCACCCATTTCACTCACCCCTCATCCTTCTGCCTCTGGCAACCGCTAATGTGTTCTCTGTATCTGAGTTCAGTTGTTCTGTTTGATTTTAGTTTTGTTTTTAAGATTCCACATATGAGATCATAGGGTATTTGTCTTTCTCCGACTTATCTCACATAGTATAATGCCCTCAAGGTCCATCCATATTGTCGCAAATGGCAAGATTTCCTTGTATATTTCATTATATATGACATCCTCCTTTTCTCCATATTCTCGCCAACACTTGTTATTTCTTGTCTTTTTTATAATAGTCATTCTAACAAGTGTGAGGTGGTATCTCTTTGTGGTTTTGACTTGCATTTCCCTGATGATTAGTGATGTTGAGCATCTTTTCATGTACCTGTATGTCTTTTTTTGAAAAATGTCTGTTTAGGTCCTCTTTCCATGTCTTAATTGGATCGTTTGTTTTTGCTAATGAGTTGTATGAGTTCTTTATATATTTTGGATATTAACTTCTATTTTTTAAAAATATGTTTTTATTGATTTTTTAGAGAGAGAGGAAGGGGGAGAGAGATACAAACATCATTGTGAGAAATATCGATTGGCTGCCTCCTGCATGCCCCCCACTGGGGATTGGGCCCACAACCTGGACATGTGCCCTGACCTGGAATTGAACCGGCGACCTCTTGGTGCATGAGTTGATGCTCACTCAATCACTGAGCCACACCAGCTGGGCCCCATTATATATTCTTATACCTGTACATTCTTGTCATAAATTAATTGCATGGGGTTATTTCTGGGCTTTTTTTTCAGTTCCACTGATCTGTGTCCATTTTTATGCCAATAACATACTGTTTTGATTATTACAGCTTTGTAATATAGTTTAAAATCAGGACTCATGATGCTTGCAGCTTTGTTCTTTATCAAGATTGTTTTGGCTATTTGGAATCTTTTGTGGTTCCATACAATTCAGGATTGTTTTTTTTTTATTTCAGTAAAAAATGCCATTGGTATCTTGATAGGGATTGCATTGTATCTGTAGATTACTTTGTGTAGTATGGACACTTTAACAATATTAATTCTTCCAATCACAAAATATTTTCCAAACACAAAATATCTTTCCATTTATTTGTGTCTTCAATTTCTTTCATCAATTTTCAGTGTACAGGTCTTTCACCTTCTTGGTTAAATTTATTGCTAGGTATTCTTTTTGATGCTCTTTAATCTCTTTTAAATCTAGAACAGCTCCACTGCTTCTCCCTTTGCCCCCCATAGTTTAGTTTGGATCTTTTGAAGGGACCAGGCTGATTGCTTTGTGAACTGTCCCAGATTCTGGGTTTATCTGATTGTTTCTTTAGGGTGGTTTTTAACTGTTCTTCTGTTATCTGAATGTCCTATAAACTAGAAGTTAGGTCAAACAGCTTGATGAGGTTCAGGTTATTTTTGGCAAGACCACCTGAGAGGTCATTTTGGGTACCTCATACAGTGTCACAAGGCACACACTGTCAGAATGTCTTGCAATTAGTGATGCTAAGTCTGACCATGGGGTTAAGGTGGTGGCTACCAGATCTCTCCATTGTAAGCTGTATCCTCCCCTTTGTAATGATCAGTTACTTTGTAAAGTGACACTGTGGCCCTGTGCAAATGACACATTTTCCTGTCATCCTTCTCACCTGCTCATTTTGATATCCAGTTTTAATTCTTGCCTTTTGTATTCGTTACAAAATGGTAAGTTTCTAATTTTTTCCTTCTACATTTATTAGCTGACATTCTTCTGTAAAGATGAGCTTTTCCTCATCAACGGGGTTTTCTGGGAGCTCTGATAACCTGGATTTTTAACAAGCTCCAAATGACCCTGTTCAAATAGAGTCTAATCGGGATCTTTTGATGACACAGAGAACACCACAAACTAGTTAAAAGAAGGGTTCTTTGCAAGACACAGAGAGCTCTCCTAGAGCCAAGCTGCAGGAAGTACAGCTTGGCTTTATAGGAACTGAAATTGCACAGAAGCAGTTTCTCCGCCTCCTCTGCATATTTGCTATTTCATCCCCTCCACAGTATGTCTTCTTTAAAGCTCTTAGTTTCTGCTTCCACGTAACTTGGATTCATGTGAGGCTCTGAGTAGATTTAAGCCTCGTATCTGTCTGGGTGTCACAACTCAATTCTCTCTGCTGAGAATCCATCGGCAGTAGCCTGTGGAGTAGAGCCACACATATTCCAGCAGGAGCCAGGGCAGCTTAGGAGGGCAAGGAGGTGGAGAAGAGGCATGGCTGAGACTCTGCCACTCCTCTGGGTTACTAGTCCCAGGGCCTCACTGACTCTCTAAGGACTGATTCAGGTCTCCAGGGCCAGACCCTTTAGAGGACAGAGGTAGGCTTCCCGTTTCTCAGCCCAGAAATACCTCCTGGGTAGGTACCCTAGAAACTAATTCCATCTATTTCTGCCCTGAGTCCTTCTGGGCCTAGGACTCCAGAAGCACTGTCTGAGCAGGTCTTATCCCCTCTTCTTCCTCATAGCCTGCTGTAGAGGTGCCCCAGTATGTGGGTATCCAGCTCCTAGTAGAGGGCTCCACCATCAAGAAACCCATGGCGACGTGTAACCGGCGGACAGGGATCCGCACAGTGTTCCCTCACCTGCTGACCCAGCGAGGCTCTGGGGAAGGCAAGGACTCGGGGACACTTATCCACATGGCAGCTCCTAGGAAAGTTCCTGGGGCCAGGAGCCCGGGGCACACCGAGAAGCCAGACTCCACTGCCACCACATCGGCTGCTGGAAAGGGGAAGAAAGGCAAGGCAAAAATTGCTACAGCTCTGGTCTGCCCTGATACCCAGAAGTGGGACCCCACCCCAGAACAAGGATGGGCTGCATTTGCACCATGACCTTTGCTAGTGGGAAAAGGCAACCCCACTCCTTGAACAAATTGCTGGGGAAGAGCACTGCCCCCAAATACCTCAGGGTCCCAAGACAAGTTCTTGTTCAAGCCCCTGCTAACCAACTGAATTTGCCCCTACCCAGAGCCCCACCAAAGAGCCACAAATAGCAAGTAAAAGCCACCACTTACAAAGTTTTTTTTTTTTTTTTGTTAATCCTCATCTGAGGATATTTTTTCCATTGATTTTTAGAGAGAGTGGAAGGGATGAAGGGAAGGGAGGAGAGAGAAAGACAGAGACAGAGAAACATCGATGTGAGAGAAAGACATCGATTGGTTGCCTCCCACGTGACCCTGACTGGGGCCAGAGATCGAACCTGCAACCCAGGTACATGCCCTTGACTAGGAGTCGAACCCATGACCTTTTAGTGCATGGGACAATACTCTAACCACTTAGCCACACTGGCACAAAGTATTTAATTTTTTTTTTCTTTATTGATTTTAGAGAGAAAGGAAGGGAGAGAGAGAGAGGTAGAAACATCGATGAGAGAGAACGATTGGCTGCCTCCTGCATGCCCCCCACTGGGGATCGGGCTCACAACCTGGGCATGTACCCTGACCAGGAACTGAACCGGTGACCTCTTGGTGAATGGGTCGATGCTCAACCACTGAGCCACACTGGCCAGGGAGCACAAAGTATTTAAAAAAAATACATAACCAAGTGAGTATTTTCCCCTCCAAAAGAGTCACCCTGTGAGGCAGTTATTTCAAAGATGCCAGAACTTCAAAGATACCAGAGCCCAAGTTTTTCCTGTCTTGGTATTCTTTCTGCCTTTGCCTCTGCAAAGTTGCCTCTGGGGGAAAGGAACTAATATTTGCACAGCACTTAACAGTTTACACTGTGTTTGCTATATAATTAGCTCCTTTAGTCCTCACAACCTAGCGAGGTAGGTGCTATTATCCCCATTTTCCAGCCGAGGTATCAGGAAATTTAAGGAAGATGCTCGAGGTTGCACAGTTCAGAAGGGGCAGAGATGGGATGCAGACTCAGGTCTGTTGGACTCCAAACCTTGTGTTCTTCCCATGGCCTCTGGAGGAGGAACTGGGAGGGCTCCATCTGCCATCATATGCCCCAGCCTTCATCTCCCCGGCCTCCAACCCTACACACCTTGAGGAGTAGCTGGTCAGCCTGGGGCCCTCCCCAGGCCTTCACAGCACCTCTTGCTCCCACAGCCCCTTACCACTTCCCCAGCCTCCACACCAAGGCCCGGATGCCTTCTCTCCACGTGCTCCGATCTCAGGGGCAGGTCCTCAGACTGCAGCACAGCAAGCTGGTGGGCTCTAAGGCTCTGTTGACCACAGGCAAGGCCTTGATGATGCTACCTACTGCCAAGGTTTTGATTTCCCTCCCACCTAGCCCTGAGCTCAAGCAGGCATCCGCCATCCTGAAACCAAGAAAGGTGGGCCTCAAATTATGACTCACACCTGGCAGGCAATGCCAAGTACTGGGGTCAGGGCTGAGGGCACAGGTAGAGGGCAGCTCCCAGGCTGGCTGGAGCCCAAAGGGGAGGGCTGTTTCCCTCGGAATTCCCTTCCTGGACAAATTCTTGATCATCTCTTCCCCTTCTTCCCTCCTTTCACACCGAGGCTGTTGCTCCCAAGCGCCTTCGTGGTTCCTATCCTGGAGATGCCTTGTGGCCTCTACCCTTTGAAGTTGGAAATCTTCCTAGCACACATAGGAACATCAAGGCCAAAGGCGAGTTCAAGGCCAGACTCTGTGACAGACCCAAGGCTGACGCATGCCCAGTGAAGATGCTGAGCCTTCAGGGACCCCTGCCCCTTATCAATGCACATCAGCAATTAGGGGGCATGGGGGATGCGAGGCTAGAGAAGCCTTTGCTTTAGGCCTCACTGCCCTCATCCCGGATGTAGCACCAAATAAAAAGGAGCAAGTAAAGTATTCTTGGCTTGGCTCTGTTTCTTTTTCTTTCTTTCTTTCTTTCTTTTTTTTTTTTTAAATCTTTATTATTGAATGTAAAATGTATTACAGATGTTCCACATTTTTCCCCCATTGACCCCCTGCCCCCCACTCCCACCCCCCTCCCGCCTTTTCCCACACTATTGTCTGTGTCCAATGGTTATGGATATAAGTTCTTTGGTTTATTTCTTCCCACCCCCAACCCCCCAACCCCTTTCCCTTTGAGGTTTGTAAGTCTAGCAATGAATTTGTACTTCTTAATTCCTTCACCTTTTTCACCCATTCCCCCAAACCTCCTCCCATCTGGCAACCAACAAAATGTTCTCTGTATCTATGAGAATGTTTCTGTTCTGCCTGTTCATTTTGTTTGTAGATTCAATTGTCGATAGATATGTATTCATTATCATTTTGTTTGTTCATATATTTTATCCTTTTCTTCAAAAATACCCTTCAACATTTCATATAACGGTTTGGTGGTGATGAACTCCTTTAACTTTTTCTTGTCTGAGAAACTCTTTATATGACCATTGATTCTAAATGACAGCTTTGCAGGATAGAGTAATCTTGGTTGTAGGTTCTTGCTTTCCATCACTCTGAATATTTCTTGCCACTCCCTTCTGGCCTGCAAAGTTTCTTTTGAGAAATCAGCTGACAGCCTTATGGGAACTCCCTTGTCGGTAACTAATTGCCTTTCTCTTGCTGCTTTTAAGATTCCCTCTTTGTCTTGAACCTTTTGCATTTTGATGATGATGTGTCTTGGTGTGGGCCTCTTGGGGTTCATCTTGTTTGGGACTCTCTGTGCTTCCTGGACTTGTATGTGTGTTTCCTTCACCAAGTTAGGAAAGTTTTCTGCCATTATTGTTTCAAACAGGTTTTTGATTTCTTGTTTTCTCTCTTCTCCTTCTGGCACCCCCAAGATGCGAATGTTGGCATGCTTGAAGTTGTCCCAGAGGCTCCTTACACTGTCCTCATTTTTTTGGATTCTTTTTTCTTTTTGCTGTTCTGATTGGGCATTTTTTGCTTCCTTATATTCCAAATCTATGGTTTGCTCCTTGGATTTACGTACTCTATTATTGAAGCTGTGTAAATTATTCTTTATTTCAGTTAGTGCCTCCTTCAATTCTAACTGTGCATCCATGATTTCTGACTGGTCCTTTTTTATGCTCTTGAGGCCCTCACTAAGTTCACTGAGGTTCTAAGTTCACTGAGCATCCTTATAAGCAGTATTTTGAACTGAGCATCTGTTAGGTTGCTTATCTCCATTTCGCTTAGTTCTTTTCTTGGGGTTTTGTTCTGTTCTTTCATTTGGGACCTGCTTCTTTGTCTCCTCATTTTGGCTGCCTCCCTGTGTTTGTTTCAGTGTATTACTTAACGAGAGGTATGGGGCTAGCTGAGACCAGATGCTGTTCATTTGAAAGAATTTTGGAAAAACCTGAAGCAGGATCCAAGACAGGCCAATCCTATGGTTAAGCAAGTGGCAACAGCTTGGGTGGGCCTGAAAGTTGAGTGGGGCGGGGCCTCAGGGAGTCACCAGGGCGGGGCTACCAGTGTGAGCCAGGTTGCTGGAGTCCCAGATATGGCTTCTGTCTGCCACCCCAGGGAAGGGCTCACCAAAGGAATAAAGGCCTCTGACAGCACGTTTGTCCCGGAGAAAGCCCCCTCTCCAGCCCTAGCTCCAGTGCCAAACAGCTCAGTTCTTCCCTGTATGTCTCTGGTGCCCCTCGAGCTGCCTCCCCTCCAAGCTTAGAGGGAGAGAGTCCGATAAGTTCGTGCGCGGGCCCTTTAAGGAGCTGCCTGGGGCTCCAGCCGCCTCAGCTTCCCTGAGCCTCAGTTCCCGCTGGTTTTTCCAGCCAGAAGTTATGGGGACTTCTCTTCCTGGCACTGGAACCCTGAGTGGGACACCTGATGTGGGACGGGGACCCCTCAGTCCTCAGGGAGGACCTTCCCTGCCAAGGTAGCCTCCTGATTTTTATCTGCCACACGTGGGTGTGGGACCAGCCCATCACGGCGCCGCCACCGCCGCCGCCGCCCCTCGCGCCTCCGCCCCTCCTACCAGTCTGGATGTGGCTGCTGCTTTAATTCCGTAGTTGTAGGACTTCCATTCAGCTTGATTTCAGGCGGTTTTGAATGATGGTTGTTCTGTAGGTTAGTTGTAACTGTGATGTGGTTGTGGGAGGATGCGATACCGTGTTTACCTACGCCGCCATCTTGACCGGAAGTCTTGGCTCTGTTTCTTTTGGAGGGTGAAGAGAAGGTAGAGTGGGGCTCTGTACCGCAAAGTCCAGAACAAGAGTTAGAGGCCATCAGCAACTCCTCCAGGAAGCAAGGCCCAGAATTCCCACAGCGGCAAACACGGGGCTTCCTGTTCAGAAACACTCTCTGATCTTTGGGTGTGTGTGTGGGGGGTACGCCTTACTTAACAGAAAAGGAAGCTGTGTATGAATGAAGAGACATGGCTCCCAAGGTCATGGGCAATGGGCAAAAGTCTAGGACACAGTGCCAGAATGACTAACCACTGGGAGTCCCCCAGATTCCCAAGGCCAAAGGAGGAGCTGGGCTGACATCTAATGGGCACAAGATATACTGCATGAGACACAGAGGGAAGGGTGGACCTTGCCTGAACCCCGCCCTTTTCCAGAGAAAGTAGGTCTGTCCCTTCCTCAGCAAGGGGCCAAGTTCACCTAAACAAAATACTCAACAAGCCATACCCATCTGAAAAGTTAGGTATTTCATAGTTGTAACGGGTTGAATGGTACTCCTCCCTTCAAAGATATGTCTACCTAGAACCTGTTAATATGACTTTATTTGATAAGAAAAAGGGTCTTTGTAGATGTAATACCTTGTAATGATCTTGAGATGAGATCATCCTGGATTATCCAGGTGAGCCCTAAATCCAATGATAAGTGTTCTTATAAGAGTCAAGAAAAGACAAACACGAGGAGGCCATGTAAAGATGGACGCAGAGGCTGGTGTGATGCAGCTACAAGCCGAGGAAAGCTTGGAGCCACCAAAAGCTGGAAGAGGCCAGGAAGGATTCTCCCCCAGAGCCTTCAGAGAGAGCACAGCCTTGTCAATACCTTGACCTCAGACTTCTGGCTTCCAGAACTGTGAGAGAATCAATTACTGTTGTTTTAAATCACTCGGGTGGTTGTAATTTGCTATGGCAGCCCTAGGAAACTAATACACTAGGCAAATGATGATCCAGATATTCTTGCATAACAACCAGGAAATGCTTACAAGCAGGTTCACAGCAGCATTGGGGTAAAAGCCAAATGACCTACCTGTCCACTAACAGATGGATAAACTGGTATATTCAAGCACCGGAATTCAAATTCCACGCCATACAACAGATTCATTTCCCAGTGTGGAGAAAGAGCAAATTACAAAAGAATATACACAGTGTGATTCCATTTGCAGAAATTTGGGAAATAGGCAAAATGAAATATATCATTTAAGAATGCATACATATGTGGTAAAACTTAAAAGAAGCAAGGAAAGAATTCTCCTGTCAGGGGAGTGGTTCCAGCCTGTACCGAACCTCTTAGGGAGCTTTTAAGAGGTTGATGCTAGGGGTCTCCACCCCAGACTGGTCAAACCAGTATCTTTGGGGTGTATAATTATGGGGATTAAAAAAAAAATTCTTTATTGATTTTAGAGAGAGAAGAAGGGAGAGGGAGAGATAAAAACATCGATGAGAGAGGACATCGATTGGCTGCCTCCTGCATGCCCCCCACTGGGGATCAGGCCCACAACCTGGGCATGGGCCCTGACCGGGAATCAAACTGGCAACCCCTTGGTACATGGGTCCATACTCAACCACACCAGCCAGGCATCATGGGGATTTTTAAAAGCTTTCTGAGAGGGTATGTAGGGGGTTCTGATGTGGGTTAGGATTGAGAACTGCTGCCCTATAAGAGAGGATGCTTCGCCTTGGCTGGTTTGGCTCAGTAGTTAGAGCGTCGGCCCACGGACCAGAGAGTCCCGGGTTCGGTTTCCACTAAGGGCACGTACTTTGGTTGCAGTTTGTCCCCAGCTTCCCTTTCATGTTGATGTCCCCCCCCCCCCCCACTCTATCTGAACAAAAAATGGAAAAATGTTCTTGGGTGAGAATAAAAAAAAAAGAGAGAGAGAATGTTTCTATTTCATGCCCTGAATGATGGTTATATGTCACCTTATAATTATTCTTTAAATCACAGAGATGTTTCATGCACTCTGTATGTTTAATATGTTTCACATTTTCTTAAAGTAAAAAAAAAAATCTCACATCTTCGCTTATGTGAGATTGCCTGGAGTAGTCAAATTCATAGAGACAGAGAATGGTGGCTAGTAGGGGCTGGGAGGGGAATGGAGACGCCGGGTTTAATGGGGACAGAGGTTAGGTTCTGCAAAGTGAAAAGAGTTCTGGAGATGATGATGGTGATGGCTGCAAAACACTGTGAATGTGCTTAATGTCCCTGAACTGCACACCTACAATGGTTAAGGTGGTAAATCTTGCAAGGTGTGCTGCACCACTATTAAAAATCTAACATTTCTTCCCAGCTAGAATTGGGGCAGAAACGGCCAAATAAAAGGCCACACATTGAACTCAACAGAAAGCATGATCCATGATAAACATTTACTTTGTCAGCAAATCCTCAAAAACAATACTATGAGTTATGTACATTTATTATCTCAAGTCCAGAGAGGTGAAGTTATTTGTCCAACACCACATGGCAAGTGCCTAGCCAGGATTTGATCTTAGGTTAGTCCAATTGCAGAGCCCAGGGTCTTAAACCATGACCTTACTGCATGTTGCACCCTGAACTCATTCTCCTTGGGCCTGCAGTCCTTCGACTCCCACCACTTTCCAAGAGGAATAGAAGGAGGACTATTGTTGGCGGAGCCCCAGGCACTGTAGCGTCCTAGAGAAATAAGGGGGCAAGGGTGCCAAAAGCTCTATGGGGGTGTCCCTGGGCCTGGTGCCTGGGAGGTGGAGACAACGCAGGTGGAGGTGCAAGGGCAGCTGGCCAGCCTGGGAAGGCGTCAGGTGAAGGCGTCTGAGGAGGGCTTCATCCAAGACCTGGGGTGGGAGAGGCATGTGAGCACTCAGCCAGGTCAGTTCCAACCAGCCTGAACCAAAATGGGAGTGAAGCAAGTACTTCCTCCCTTCCATGTCCATGGTTATTCATTCCCCTTCTACACTCATACGTGTACACACTCACACACACTCACAATGGCAGGCACTGGCTAGGGGTTCACCAAATCAATTTCTGCCTGGGCTTACAGCTGAACATTTCCCAGACCCTCTTGCAGTTTGGTGAGGACATGTGATTGAGTTCCAGCCAATGGAATGGGGGTGTACAGCTGTTTGCCGCTTCCAGACCTGGCCCATGGAACTCTTCCACATGAACCTGTACTGTGCCTGCTTATCTGATGGCTAGATAGCAACGGCCTGGGTCCCGTAGTGACTGCTTGAAGCAAAGCCCACCTCTACCCTAACCCCATTAATTGGACTTAACATGGAGGGAAATTAATGTGTTAAGGCTCTAATACTTTTTTTTTTTTTTTTGGTATGTGCCCCTAGTGGGAACCGAACCCGGGACTCTCTGGTCCGCAGGCCGATGCTCCAACCGCTGAGCCAAACTGGCCAGGGCAAGGCTCTAATACTTTGAGACTACTGTTAAAGCTGATAGTGACCCTAATATACACAACCTCTTTTACCCCTTATACTAAAGAGATTCAAAGAACAGCAGCCTTAGAAAGGCCTTCAGAAATCAGGTAGTTCAACTCCCTTAAGGAACAGATGGCTCAGGGCCATACAGCAAGACAGGCTACAGATGGCTCTGGAAGACAAGAGGACTGCCTCCCAATCCCAAGCTGCATAGGTAATGTCTGGAGATGCTGCTCACCCTTGTCCCCCAAACTACCCCCAGAAGGCAGAAGATAGGTGGGCTTGGGTACCTGTTTTTGGGGTTTGGTGTTCTCAGCTGGCAGCAGAAAGCGCTGACCCAGGACAGTGCCCACGCGGGCAGAATACCTGTGGTCCCCGAGCACAGGGCAGAGCTGGAGCACCATGTGTACCTGTAGCTGACTGGGGAACACTGGGAGACAGGAGAGAGAACAGATGATTACCAACTGCTCTGGGGAAACACCACCCCTTTCTCAGACCAGGTGGTTTTAGCGAGGTAGATGCTATTGCCGTAGCCTCCAGAGCAGGGCACATGACTAGGTCAGGATAGTCATAGCTGTCAATCCACCTGGCCTGTGGGATTCACCCAGGAAGAGAGGCAACCCTGAACTTATTGTCGAAGCTACTGGGTATGAAGAATGCTCTTTCCTGCTGGGATGCTAAATTGGTGGAATGTAAGCCTGGAGCTGCTGGAGCCCCTGGCCATCTCTGCCTTCACCAGGGGAGCACCGGTGGGAGGAAGAAGCCAACATACAGGAGGCAAGAAGAAATGGAGAAATAGCTGCCTGATGACATTCTCTGAACCTCTGGTCCAGCCAAATTATGTGAGCCAATAAATTCTTTTTTTTTTTCCCCCGCTTATACCAATTTGAACTGGCTTTTGGGAAACTTACAACCAAAAGTACCTTGACAAATACAGAAATGGGGAGCTATGTGCTACACATGGTACAAAATGTTTCACATATGTAAATTTATTTCATCGTCATGACAACACTGTAAGGTAGGTCATACCATCATTTTGGAAAACCAAAGCTCAAAAAGAAGTGACTTGCACCCTGGCCGGTCTGGCTTAGCAGTTGGAGCGTCGGCCTGCGGACCAGAGTGTCCTGGCTTTGGTTCCTGTTAGGGGCATGTACCAAAAAAAAAGGAAGTGATTTGCCTACCACCATAAACTGGGATTTAAACCCAGGAGCTGTACTCTGCTTCCATGTCTGGTAATAATCTAAAAACCCTCTTGCTATAATAAATCACCTAGAAACACTGGGAAAACATAACAATCATCCTTTTAAATACACAGCTGGACACACAGGATAGTAAGGTCCTTAAGACCAAAACACAAAAAGGAAAACAAATCCAGAACACATAAGAGCCAACATTTCACCTATTCTAGGAGTGCTGCCAATCTTGATATCCATGGAGTCTGGGTTTAAGTAGCTACCCTAGGGGCCAGGGATGAGGCCTTGCTGCCCAAATGAAACCCTAGAAGGGCTATATCTTCAGTGAAAGGGTGGACCAGGAGAAAGAGCCAGCCACCAAGGAAGGCAGGTGATTACCTTAGAACCAGGTAAGAGGAATGAACAAGTTTTCTCCTGAGAATTCACAGCCATGAGCCTGCTCTTACACAGGTTTAAGGCTCTAATACTTCTTGAATGATCTGTGAACTTCCAAATGAGACTAATATTTAGGGAGGTTCTGAAGGAGTGATATCGCTAAGGCATTCAGCAGAAGCAAAGATGGAACCTCTCCCAAAGGTCCCACCTCCATTGAGGCAATAAAGGATTTCCACAGATAAGGACCCAACTGAACCTGAATTCACAATCTCGAATCACAGAGCAACAAGAAAACAACCCGCTTGGCTGGTGTGGCTCAGTGGTTGAGCGTCGACCCATACACCAAGAGGTCACTGGTTCAATTCCTGGTCAGGACACATGCCCAGGTTGTAGGCCCAACCCCCAGTAGGGGGCATGCAGGAGGTGGCCAATCAATGTTCTCTCTCATCGACATTACTATCTCTCCCTCTCCCTTCCTCTCTCTAAAATCAATAAAGGAAAAAATTTTTTAAAAGAAAGAAAGAAAACAACCCACCAAGTGTGAGAGCAGGAAACACAATAGGATTAGACCCTTAAGAATTTTAGACAGTGGAATTCTAGAAATACAATTGTTTAAAATGATTGAAGACACATACACACACACACACACACACACACACAAAGAACATATAATATGAAGAAAAAAAGCATGCCTATGTGTGTGTGTGTGTGTGTGTGTGTGTGTGTGTGTATTTTTTTTTTAGAGAGAGAGAATGGGAGGGAGGGAGAGACAGAGAGAAACATTTTTCCATTGATTTTTAGAGATAGACTGAAAAGGAGGGAGGGGGAGAGAGAGAGAGATATCGATTGGTTGCCTCCCTCATAACCCTAACCAGGGTCAGGGATGGAACCTGCAACCCAAGCACTGACTGGGAATCAAACCCAAGACCCTTCAGTCTGTAGGCTGATGCTCTAACCGTTGAACCAAACCAGCCAGGGCGAACATGCCATATTTTTTAAAAGGCCATTTGTACTTATAAAAGAACCAAACAGAACTTCTAAAAGTAAAAAATATAGTCAATGGATAGGTTAAATTAGCAGATTAGATCTAATTTTTTTTTTTCAAAAGTGCCCTTAGTGGAGACGATGAGGTGGCATTTTTCCCCCCCTTTATTGATTTTAGAGAGAGAGGAAGTGAGAGGGAGAGAGAGATAGAAACATCAATGAGAGAGAACATCAACTGGCCGCCCCCTGCATGCCTCCCACTAGGGATTTGGCCCACAACCTGGGCATGAGTCATGACCGGGAATCGAACCGACGACCTCTTGGTGCATGGGTCGATGCTCAACCACTGAGCCACACTAGCAGGACAGATTAGATCTAATTAAAGAGAAAACTACTCAACTGGAAGATAGATCTAAAGAAATTACCCAGGCCATGGGTGGGTAGCTCAGCTGGTTAGAGTTGTCCTGATATGCAAGGTTGTGGGCTTAATCATAAGACACATAACAAGAATCAGCCAATGAAAACATAAATAAGTGGAGCAACACATCAGTGTTTCTTTCTTTCTCCCTTCCTTCCCCTCTCTCTCTAAATCAATTAAAAATAAAGAAATTACCCAGAATGCAGCAGAGATAAAAAAGTGAAAAAAATATGAAAGAAAAGTTAATAGACAGTGAGTAGAATGAGGTCAGGCATGTCTATTAGGCATTAAAAAGGAAGAGAATAGAAAGACTACAAGAGGCACAACGTTTGAAAAGAGAATGTTCTAGGATTGATGAAATATATTAATCTTTAGATTCAGGAAGCACAGCGAATCCCAAGCAAGATAAATAGTACTAAACCCCCACACCTAGATTTATCATAGGGAAACTACAGAACACCAAAGACAGAGAAGACCCTGAGATCAATAGCTAAGAGAAAAAGTTGATGAACTACAAAGGAATGACCATTAGACTGACAAGCGAAGCACTACCTCCTCCAGCTGGGCCTGGTCTACATCTTTGGGGCCCATCAGATGTTCCCCAGGCTGCTCCTAACACCACCACCTTCTTCCCACTCCTTCGCCTTCCCAGCCAAATACAGTTCTAAAGTCTGGCTGGGGCTCTAGACCCACCTGTTAGTGGTTGCAGCTGGACCAGGGCACAACCGGAGCCCATGGCCACCACACGAAAGTGGCTTAGGGTCCTCTTGACACCTTTTAGGATGTCCTTTCGGGATGGAGACTTCACTGGAACTACCTGTGGTATCAGCCCCCAAGTATGAACAAGCTTCACACACACCTGGGGGATATACCCAGACCCTCCCTGCTCCCAACAGACTCAGGACAAGCAATATAGGCAGTGGTCACTTGCCTGTTTTAGAGGATAGGAGAGCCAGCTACCCCAAATCTATACCCTTAACTCCTCTGTAAGGGTAATATGTCTGGAGAGTCCCTTCCTGTTCCCACCCAGACCCTGACTCACAAGACCAACACCATCAACATGTTCCAGTTTCAGAGCTGCTTGGATCTTCCCCTCAGAAGTAGCTGGGATGCCATCAGTGACAGCCCTGAGACAGAGGCAGGAGGAGGTCACAGAGTGGCTTGCCAGGACCTCCCCACTGCCATGGGAGCCTCCCAGCACCTCTTACCAGTAGGTGGCTGTGGGTCTCTGGGCTCTTTGTGAGTGGGCGAAGAAATTCTGGAGGCGGCTTGCTGTCTGGGGACAACTGGAGAGGAGTACAACCCCAGAGGTCTCCCTGGGAAGGAAGGGGACAAATCATGAAAGTTAAAGTCCCTTGGGCTCACTAACAAAAAAGGGAGAAACACTGACTTGCTTAAGGCCAAACAGTAATAACAGACTATAACCCAGACCTCCTGAGAAACAAGGCTTCCTCCTGTTTGATGAGGCTATGTAGATCAATGCGTCTCTCATTTTGCCCTGGCCCCCAGGGATCTCAAAGTCAAATGTCATAACAATTACCACCAATTGCAGAGTATCTCCCATGTGCCAGGCACTATACAAGCCAAGGAGTTTGTGAAATTGCAAAAATATTTCCTCTCAAGTACTCTTATTGATGGCAGTTAGAGGAAAGAATATCAGTGATCAACTCCCAATGCCTGCCATGAGTATGGACTTAGAAAAGTGGCTGCATACTGAGCATTGGCAGTATTAGCTCTGTCTTATGATTAAGGAAAATGAGGCTCAATGAGGTTTCATGCTTTGCCTAAGATCACAGTTTGTGCATGAGGATTTGAATCCAGATCTGTCTGCTCCCTCCTGTACCTCATTTTTTTTTTTTTAATTTTTTTTTTTTCTTTATCCTCACCCGAGGACATTTTTCCATTTTATTGTTCAGATAGAGTGGGAGGGAGGGAGAGAGAGAGAAACATCGAAAGGGACACATCGAGTGGCTGCCACCCGCACGACCAACCAGGGTCGGGGACAAACTGCAACCAAGGTACGCGCCCTTAGCGGGAACCGAACCAGGGTCTCTCTGGACCGCAGGCTGATGCTCTAACCGCTGAGCCAAACTGGACAGGGCTGTACCTCATTTTTTTAATCTCTCTGATCCCAAACCAGCCATGGAAATGTCTCGGATTATTTTCAAGCAACTGTTCCCCAATCTTAGACAGAGGCCTGTTCTCCTACCTTCCTTTCACCCCCACCACTTACTTTCCAGCTGCTCGGACAATCTGGAGCTCCTGCTCCCCAAGCCCCAGGGACTGGCTCAGCTCTGGCAGCACTGAAAGCAATGTCAGTTCTCCTGGTTTTCCTGGAAAAAAAAAAGAAAAAATACAAGTTGCTCCCAGAGGCAACTCTATCCCACCATCTCTTCTCTTCACTATTCACTCCCTCAGAGACATCAAACCCTGTCTCAATGCATCTCCTTCCCCTGCTCATACCTGTCACTGGAAGACCCTGTGGTTTGTTCAACGTCACCAGTGGTCCTGAAACATACATTACAGGAACATCATTGACAGCAAAAGCAGCAGTTAGAGTTTACAAAGCACTTTCTCAATTCATCTTTTTTTTTTTAATTTATTTTTATTGTTGACACTATTACAGATGTCTACATTTCCCCTCCTCCATCCAGCTCCCACCCCTCCTTCCCTGACTCAATTCATCTTATCATTAGGCCCCACTATAACTCTCAGACATCAGTTATCAGCCACACCCAAAATGAACTTCTTCTTGTCCCTCACATATGCAAAGCTCACTGCCATCTCAGAGCCTTTGCATTTGCTGTTTCCTGTCCCAGATTTTCACATGTCTGGCTCCTTCATATCATCCTGGCTCATCACCAGAGAGGCCTAATTCTGCAGTCTAATGTCTGCCCACTCCTACAGTTCCTCACCATAATATCACTGTTTTATTCATAGCACTGATCACTAGTAAGTACCTTGTTCACTTATTTCCTGTTTAATCCATTTCTCCCATTAAAATGTTGGCTCCCTGAGAACAGGAACCATGTTTATCTTATATAGTTATGCCTGGTACATAGCCTATGCTCAATAAATAATTGAGAAAATTATTAAACCGCTGAATGAAGGCTGAGGATCAAATTGTTATTTTCCTAAAGCCACACAAGCTGATTACAGAACTCAGATTTGACTCCAAAGTCTGTGTTTTGTCCATCAATAAGCAATTTATTATAGCAATTCCTATATCGAAGTGCCTTCTGTGTTCAAGACTGTCTGATTCTCTACACCCTCCCAACCCACACCCCATTCCCATAATGCTGCGGCTCAGAGAGATTATGTGGCTCAGCCCTGCTCATGCCTCTAATAGGAGGTAGACCAGGATTTGACCCCCAGAGGCTTTTAGTAGGGAGTCCAGTCAGTCCCCTAGAAGGCTCAGAGAAGCAGGCTCCTCTCCCAGTCTCTGTGCAGCTGTCTTTCTCATCCTCACCTTTCTGATCCACCACAGATGCCCTCAGCACATCCACCAGCTCCTCCCGACTGAGGTTCTCTGGCTGCAGCAGCCCTGGGAAGGGCTGGTTTCCCAGGGACCCTGATCGTTTGCTGGAGCCTCGAGGTTGCAGCTGACGCCTAGAAAAGGTGGGGTAAGCAACAGGAGAATCAGTCCTTTCCCGAGGTGCTGCCCATTCTTAACTCCACATACATCTTCCCAAATCCTAATTAATGCCTCAGAATGCCTGAGCTGAGGTCTCCGAAAATTCAGGTTCGAGTGGCCCCACTTTACAGAGGAGAAAACTAAGGCTCAGAGAGGACTATAGACTAATGTGCCACCACAGAGCAAAACCAGCATTAGAACCCATATCTTCCTACCTCCAGAGCCCGTACACACCTTCCCCCAGCCCCACCCTCCCTCTCACTGGAAATACGGGGGTACAATCACCTGGCCTCAGTGCCAAAGCCTATGACCTTGTGAACTGAGCAGACCGCTGGCCCCCGCCACCAGCCATCCCAGACGTTGCCCAATATACGGTAGCCACCCATGTCCCGTACGAAATCAATGCGCATGTATCTATAGAGCAGCCCACGCCCCCACGCTCGCCCACAGCGCATTGATTGGTCAGATTGACTGTCAATCGGAATAGCAGGAAGGAGGAGCTTTAGAGCTGTGAGAAGGCGGGACTTTGCCTTCCTGAAGGAAATGCGTCAATTCTCGCCTGTGCTCTTGGGAACCTGAGCGGCGGAGAAGAAATTTATCAGGGTCAGAGAAGCTGTCTCAGGACAAAAGTGGGCCGAAAGGTTAAGGTTTTTGGATAACCATTCAATTCTTAGGAACCTTCTAACTTCAAAAAGCCACTGTTATGCACAATATCTTAAGGCAAATTGGCGCGGGCGGGGGAGGCGGAGAGCGGGAATCCACACGGCTTGGTCCAGTAAACCTGCTTGGAAGAACAGCCTGGTGCATAATCCAAAAGTAGAAAAAGTCCAGAGACAGAAGGAGATTCACTAAAGCATTACTTATCAAAGCAAAAACAAGTCTTAAAACTGAAAACATAAATTGTCCTGTGATTAGCTCTATAAGAGAAATAAATCGAATACATCACCTTTTCAACATTTTTGGAATGCTAACTCTATTCCAGGCCCTGGCATCTGTAAACTGGAAACACATCAACAAGACCCAGGAACTACCCACAAGAAGTTCAACCAAGTGGACACAGTTCAGATCACAGCATTGTAACACACCTTGCTAAACCCTGTGCAGATTTAGAGAGAGAGTGAAGAGCTAGGTGAAATCAGTAAAGGTGTGCAAGCATGGGTTATGCACAATATGGACAGGTTGTGAAGGACTTAATAGAAATTCACCAGGAGGCAGAGGGAGGAAAAAATAGAAATGAGCTAAGGGGGGCGGGGATCAAAGTGGATTCTGTCCTGTAATTACAACTATAGAAAAGTTGCATGCAACTTATGTATTGTTTCATTTATTTACTAAGAGCACTATAACTTCTTGTTTTTGATTTATTGATTTATTTTTGTTACAGGTGTTTCTCCTTTTTTTCCCCATTGACACCTTCCTCCCCATCCCCCCCCCTCCACCTTTGTTGTCCATGTCCATTGGTTATGCATACATGCATATAAGTTCTGTGGTTTATCTCTTCCCTCCCCCCACCCCCTCTTCTGAGGGTTGTCAGTCTGTACCCTACTTCCACATCTGGGTCTACCCTGTTCCTCAGACTGTTATGTTCATTATATTCCACAAATAAGTGAGATCATGTGATATTTGTCTATCGCTGCTTGGCTTGTTTCGCTTAGGATAATACTCTCCAGGTCCCTCCATGTCATCTCAAAGGATGAGAGTCTTTCTTTCTTACAGCTGCATAGTACTCCATTGTGTATATGTACCACAACTTTTTTATCCATTTCTCTACTGATGGACACTTGGGCTGTTTCCAGATCTTAGCTATTGTAAATAGAGCACTATAACTTCTAATTGATCATTTGCATTAGCAAAAAAACTTCAAATAAACCCAAGTCCATCAACAGAGGGATGGCTAAATCAATTGTAGCACATCCAGACCATGCAGCCATTAAGGAATGTATAGGTCTATATGTGCTGGTATGATTCAATCTCCAGAAAATATGAAGTCAAAAAAGCGAAGTGAAAGATAGTGTGACTAGAATATACATACACTGTGTATATACAGTCATGTGCCCCATAAGGACATTTCAGTCAATTACTGACCACATGTGATGGTGGTCGCATAAGATTATAATGGAGCCTTGGCCGGTGTGGCTCAGTGGTTGAGTGTCATCTCATTCACCAAAAGGTTGCAGGTTTGATTCCCGGTCAGGACATGCGCCCAGGTTGTGGGCTTGATCACTGGCAGGGGGTGTGCAGGAGACAGTCAATCAATCGATGTCTTTCTCTCACATCGATGTTTCTCTCTTCCTCTCTCTCTAAACAGCATTAAAAAATTAAAAAAGAAAAAAACAAAACACTCCCCCAACCAGTGTGGCTCAGTAGTTGAGCATCGACACATACAATAAGAAGTTGCTGGTTCAATTCCTGGTCAGGGCACATGCCCAAGTTGTGGGCCCAATACCCAGTGCAGGACTTGCAGGAGGCAGCCAATTGATGTTCTCTCTCATCGATATTTCTAGCTCTCTCTCCCTCTCCCTTCCTCTCTCTCTAAACTAAATAAAGAAAAAAGGACATTTTCCCATTTTTTTGTTCAGGTAGAGTGGGAGGGAGAGAGAGGAACAGAGAGAGAGAGAGAAACATCGATGTGAAAGGAACACATCGAGTGGCTGCCACCCGCACGACCGACCAGGGCCGGGGACAAACTGCAACCGAGGTACGCGCCCTTAGCGGGAACCGAACCTAGGCCTCTCAGGACCGCAGGTCGATGCTCTAACCGCTGAGCCAAACCGGCCAGGGCAAGAAAAATATTTTTAAAAAACCATTCTCACTTAGATGTTTCTCTCTCTCTCCCTAAACAAAATTAATTAAAAAATTGTTTTTAAGATTATAATGGAGCTAAAATATTACCATTGCCTAGTGACATCGTAGCTGTCATAATGTCATAGTACGATGCATTACTCCCATGTTTGTGGTAATGCTGGTGTAAACAGACCTACTGCAGTGCCTTTTGTAGAAAAGGGTAGCACATACAATTATAATTGTGCAGTACATAATACTTGAAAATGATAATAAATAACTATGTGACTGGTTTATATATTCACTATACTATACTTTTTATCATTACTTAGTGTATTCTTTCTACTTATTAAAAAAGTTTGCTATAAAACAGTATGTTGTGTTATGCCAGCACCAGCGACATACATCTCGTACTTACTGCATCTCTTAACTGCATCATTTTCTCTTGTGTTTGATTTTATCTCATGTTGTTTTGTACAGTATCATGCTATACAGGCTTGTAGCCTAGGAGCAATACGTTATACCATATAGTCTAGGTGTTATAGTAGGCTATACCATTTAAGTTTGTGTAAGCGCACTCTATGATGTTTGCACAACAATGAAATTGTCTAACGATGCATTTCTCAGAACTATCCCCGTCATTATGGGGTGCATGACTGTATATGTGTGTGACATTTATGTATTTTTATTATATTTATATACTCCTTTATTTCTGAAAGGACACACAAAAACAAGATGGTGGTTGCTTCTGGAGAAAGAATCAGAGGTGAGAAGATGAATAAATATTTTTATCCTTTGGAACTGCTTGTTTTTTTGGGAGGGAGAGAAATAATTTTTAATGTTTTTTTTTTTCTTTACAAATACACTGGAGACCCATGCAATACTGCCAGCATTTGATGCAATCCTGGGCCACAAATCTGCACACTCCTTTGCAACTGGTCCTGTGATGGCAGAACCTTTCATCTTGCCTTTATTGTTTACTATGACCCCTGCATTATCTTCAAAATAAAGAAACACGCCATCTTTTTGTTGTCGAATTACCACTGCTGGATGTACCTTCTTTCTGAACTCTGGTTTGCCTTTTTTGACTGTGGCCATTACCATGTCACCCACAACAGCAGCAGGAAGTCTGTTCAGTCGTCCCTTGATCCCCTTCACAGAGACGATATACAGATTTTTGGCTCCTGTGTTGTCAGCACAGTTGATCACAGCTCTTACTGAAAGACCAAGGGAAATCCGGAATTTCGCCCCAGAGGTTCCACCATATCCTTGTTTCCACATCTTGGATGCCAGAAAGGGATAGAAAAGCAAGGTTTTTTTTTTGTTTTTTTGTTTTTTTTAATATGTTTTTATTGATTTTAGACAAAGGAACGGAGAAGGAGAGAGCGATAGAAACATCGATGAGAGCCCTGGCTGGTTTGGCTTGGCAGTTAGAGTGTAGGACTGAGGACCAAAGAGTCTCGATTTGATTCTGGTCAAGAGCACATACCTGGGTTGTGGTTCAGTCCCTAGCCCTGGTTGGGGCTGTGCGGGAGGCAACCAATCGATGTGGCCCTCTCACATAGTTCTCTCTCTTTCCCCTACCCTCCGACTCTATCTGAAGATAAATGGAAAAATATTCTCTGGTGAGGATGAAAGAAAGAAAGAAAGAAAGAAAGAAAGAAAGAAAGAAAGAAAGAAAGAGAAGAGAGAGAGAGAGAAAGAAGAAGAAAGAAGAGAGAGAGAGAGAGAGAGAGAAAGAAAGAAAGAAAGAAAGAAAAGAAAGAAAGAAGAAAGAAAGGAAGAAAGAAGAAAGAAAGAAAGAAAGAAAGAAAGAAAGAAGAAAGAAGAGAGAGAGAGAAAGAAAGAAAGAAAGAAAGAAAGAAGAAAGGAAGAAAGAAAGAAAGAAGAAAGAGAGAGAGAGAGAGAAAGAAAGAAAGAAAGAAAGAAAGAAAGAAAGAAAGAAAGAAAGAAAGAAAGAAAGAAAGAAAGAAAGAGAAAGAAAGAAAGAAAGATTGATTGGTTGCTTCCTGCATGCCCCCTACTGGGAATTGAGCTGGCTACACCAGCCGGGTGGAACTGCTTAAGTTTATCTTACTGACTTACTTCTTTTACACACACACACACACACACACACACACACACACACACCCTTAGTTTAAAAAGCTAAGTCAGGGATAAAAGGTTAAGATTCCTAAAATATTTTATTTTATTATTATTTTTTTTATCCTCACCCGAGGACATTTTTCCATTTTTTGTTCAGAGTGGGAGGGAGAGAAAGGAAGAGAGAGCAAGCGAGAAACATCGACGTTAAAGGGACACATTGAGTGGCTGCCTCCTGCACGACACAACCAGGGCCGGGACAAACTGTAACTGAGGTACGTGCCCTCAAATGGAACTGAACCTGGGTCTCTCTGGACCACAGGCTGATGCTCTAACCGCTGAGCCAAACCGGCCAGGGCCCTAAAATAGTTTAAATTAAAAAAAAAATAGGTATAACTAAATTTTTAAAAAGACTATACAGTTCTATTTACATGACATTTTAGAAAGCAAACTATTGGCAGAAAACCCAGTGAATGCCAGGGATTTGGGGTGAGTAGGAGGGATGAGGATTGATTGACTAGACGGGGGCATAAGGGAGCTTTTTGGCAAGCTGGAAATGGTAGTTATGTACTGTACATAATTTTTTTTTTTTTTATCTTCACCCGAGGACATTTTTCCATTTTTTGTTCAGAGAGAGTTGGGGGTGGGGGGAGAGAAACATCGACGTGGAAGGGACACATCGAGTGGTCGCCACCCACACGACCCAATCAGGGCCGGGGACAAACTGCAACCGAGGTACATGCCCTTAGCAGGAACCAAACCCGGGTCTCTCCAGACTGCAGGCTGACGCTCTAACCGCTGAGCCAAACCGGCCAGGGCCATAATTTTTTATTAATTTTTTTCTTTATTGATTTTAGAGAGAAAGGAAGGAAGAAGGAGAGAGAGATAGTAACTTTGATGAGAGAGAACATTGATTGGCTACCTCCTGTATGTCCCCCAGTGGGGATCAGGCCCACAACCTGGGCATGTGCCCTGACCGGGAATGGAACTGGCTACCTCTTGGTGCATGGGTCGACGCTCAACCACTGAGCCACACCGGTTGGGTAGGCCCCACAGTGTTTTAGAATCTCCTGTGCATTTGTAAGTACCAGCTTGAGCAAGATGGAAAGACTAAGGCCGAGTGGCTGGGACACAGCCTGCCTGAACCGCAGCAGACCTCTCCTCCACTGGCCCTGTGTCGGCCCAGGAGTGGCCATTCCCCTACTTGGACTGGCTTCTGGCGCTATTGAGGCTTGAGCTCCCACACTCTGAAATTTTCCCTCCACACGCCCCAGCCTCGTCAAAGCCAGCCCTTTCCTATTCATTGCCCACTGTTGGTGTGGCTCCATTAGTCTCCACGCTCCTTGAAGAAAAGGAATAACCTACGTTTTCCTGTGCTGGAGGGCTCAGTCAGTGCCAAGAGGCAATCACTCAGATTCATTTGTGAAAACTCTGGAGAGTCTCAGGAGAAGGGGAGTGGGAACAAATTCCAAGCTTCTGCTACCCCCATCCCAACTCAGTGTATGACAAACTTTACAGGAGGAACAGGTGGGCTACAGCCTCAGCAAAGGATGACCAGGAATAGCTTCTGTGCTGATATAAACATTGTGCCTCCATGTGAGAAGGCCCACCCCTCGGAGCCAGGATGGCACTGAGCCAGACCTCCAGCCATAACTGTAAGAGCAGGAAAGCCTAGAATAGAAAGTGTTCTTCTGCTCTGCCAGCTCCTCCCATACATGGCGACAGGGTATGGGTCAGCTGCCAGTATTAACTCTCCAACTCTAGGTTTGGTAACCCAGGCCTTAGTCTTTGTTCTTAATAAACCCAAACAGACTTTACATAACGGTCAGAAATGACACTTGTTTTTTTAAATCCTCACCCAAGGATATTTTCCATTTATCTTCAGACAGAGAGGGAGGGGGAGAGAGGGAGAGAAAGGAAGAGAGAGAGAAACATCGACATGTGAGGGATACATCGACATGTGAGGGTTACCTCCCGCATGACTCTGACCAGGGGTGGGGACAAACTGCAATGGAGGTACATGCTCGTGATCATAATTGAACCCGTGATCCTTTGGTTCGTGGGCTGATGCTGTAACCGCTGAGCCAAGCCAGGTCAGAAATGACACATTTTGTAATCTGAGAGTTACAGACTAAACCACAGTCACCTGCAAACTTAGCCTTTCTTGCTTGTTTTGTTTGAGTTGCCCTATATTGAAAAATGCCAGCTCACACTGATGAGAAATTAATATTCTTTGTGGTTATCTAACAGCTCATTTTGAAGTCCTAAGGCTGAAAGTTCTGAACTGTCTGGTAAGCTAGGGAAGGCACTGACTGAGAGCTGTTATAGTTTGGTTAATGCTTTACCACCTAAACACTTACAAGGTTGTAATAAGCCCGGCTGGTGTGGCTCAGTAGTTGAGCATCGACAATCACCAAGAGGTCACCAGTTTGATTCCTGGTCAGGGCACATGCCCAGGTTGTGGGCCCAACCCCCAGTGTCTGTGTGTGTGTGTGGGGGGGGGCATGCAGGAGGCAGCCAATTGATGTTCTCACTCGTCAATGTTTCCATCTCTCTCTACCTCTCTCTTCTTCTCTTTCTACTATAAATAAAGAAAAAATTAAAAGAAAATTATTTTTAAAAAGAAGGTTATAATAAAATGCAACAGTGAGAAATTAGAAGAATGCCTTAATCCCACCCTACCAAGCAAAACTCTTCTGATAGGCAAATTTATTTTGTAAATTGTCATTTAGTATATGGATTATATGGTTAGCTCGAGTCTCTGATTAAATAGACATTAGTTCCAGAATCAACTGTAAAAAAAATTGTTTGGGGCAGAAAAAGTGCTGTTTCCTATAACCCCACATTTTGGAGAATGATTTGACAATATATTCCTCTTTTCCCTTTGACCTTTCCAACCTTCCAGATAGAACCCCACCCTCATCCCCAAAGAATACAGACAAAGATATGTATCAGCAGAAATCATTTATTGCCAACTCTCTAATGCTGTACACTAATGGACCTGACTATTCACTCAAGAGCATTAGGGATGTGGGCCAGAAGGTAGGGAGTGTGGTGAAAATACAGCATGTGAAGACAGGCAGCTGAGGGGCAGACTTCGTGCCTAGCCTGCTGGTAACCAGTCTTGGTCAGCTAAGCTACCTTGGACAGGAGGGAGCTGGGCCAGGTCAAAAACCCTCAGTTTCCTTTGGCCATCCATCCCATCCCAGATTTCCAGCCCTTCCCCCTGCTTCCACATCCATAGTCCTGTGGGGGTAAGGGCAATGTAGGAAGGTAAGAAGCTCTCTAACTGTCAGGCTTGTGGGTGCTATTAGGTGAGCATGGGGTTCCCAGTCTAGTCCTTAGCTGGGGAAGGCCCCAAGGACTTGGGCCTTCATTGCAGTATCTTCAGACAGGTTGGGATGAGAGATGGGGCCTTGACCTTGGGAGGCTGCCCTTCCTCTGTGGCATCCAGAAGCTGCTGCATGTAACAGGAGGTGCCAAGCAGCATGTGACCTGTGGCCTGCATGCTGAAGAGGGCCCAGCGAAGAGCTTCCCTGGGTGGAATGAGAAGGCAATAGAGTCAAAACACAAAGAAAACAGGAACAGATGCTGCTTTCCTCCAGCAAATAGGAGGTCTACAGGCATCACCTGACATTGTACCTTAATTGAGAGGTCCAAAATTCAAACTTATTTAACAAGGTCTTTTTTTTTTTTTTTAATATCTCTTGGAACAGCCATATTGATCTACATAACACGAAGATCATAACTCTGCCCTTCACAACATCTCTTCTAGACTTTGAGGCCTTTTCAAGTCATTTGTAGTCAAGCTAATTTTCAGAGTGTTGGGCATGAAAATGCCATTTTTAAAAATTGATTATTTTTAGAGAGAGAGGGAGAGGGAGAGAGGGATAGAAACATCGACGACAGAAAAACATCAATCGGCTGCCTCCTGCATGCCCCTCACTGGGGATCAAGCCAGAAACCCAGGCATGTTCCCTGACCCAGAATTGAACTGAGCTCTTGGTGTGTGGGACGATGTTCAACCACTGAGCCACACCAGCTGGGCTGAAAATACCATTTTGATCCCACACAGGGTTAGGAGGTTGAAATAATATAAATCACTTTACATGGGGCCTGATGTGTAGAAGGGCAGAGTAGCTGGTTGAATGCCTGACTACTTTAACCAAGTTCTTAGCCAGATCTGTTTAAAAGAGATAGGTGAGTCACTAGGGGTGTCAGTCCTAGGGGGGATCGGAGATGGGAAAACAAAAGGAAAATAAATACTTCCTGACTGATATTAAAACTTGTCTTCTAGCCCTGGCCAGTGTGGCTCAGTTGGTTAGGCGCTGTCCCATGCACTGAAGGATTGCCGGTTCAATTACTGGTCGAGGCCATGCCCAGGGAGGTGTGAGAGGCAGCTGGTGGATGTTTCACTCTCACATGGATGCTCCTATCTCTCCCTCTCTCTTCCTCTCTCTCTAAAAATCAGTAAGATCTTAAAAAAAACAAAACATAAACTTGTCTTCTATTAACCTTCATTCAATAAATTCTGGTGGAGGCCCTGGCCAGGTAGCTTAGTTGGTTAGAGCATTGTCCCCATACGCCAAGATTGTTGGTTTGATCCCTGGTCAGGCCACATACAAGAAGCAACCAATGAATGCATAAATAAGTGGAACAACAAATCAATGTTCCTCTCTCTAAAAAATATAAATAAATAAAGTAAAAAATAAATTCTGGTGGAGGTGGGGTGGGGCAGAAAGACAATTAGAACCAAAAACATCTACACATAAAAATATTTTAAAATGGCCCTGGCCGGTTTGGCTCAGCGGTTAGAGCATCAGCCCGCAGTCCACAGAGACTTGGGTTCAGTTCCTGCTAAGGCACGTACCTTGGTTGCAGTTTGTTCCTGGCCCTGTTTGGGGTTGTGTGGGAGGCAGCCACTCGATGTGTCCCTTTTGTGGTGATGTTTCTCTCTCTCTTTCACTTCCTCTCTCTCCCTCCCACTCTATCTGAGCAAAAATGGAAAAATATCCTTGGGTGAGGATTAATATATATATATATATGTATGTATATATATATACATATATTTTTAAAGTAAAGGTTATACTTGAGATGTATAATCATTTCTTAAGTTAGAGAATCCAGCCTTAAAACCAGCTAAATAGGAATGAAATTCTAACATATGTTACAACATGGATGAAACTTGAAAACATTGTGCTAAGTGAAATAAGCCAGACACAAAAGCACAATCTTATATGATTCCACTTGTATGAGAGCCCTAGAATAGGCAAATTAACAAAGATAGAAAGTAGAACAGAGGTTACCAGGGTCTAGGGGGAGGAGGAGGGGAGAGATAGTGTTTAATGGGTACAGAGTTTCAGTTTGGGATGATGAAAATGTTCTGGAAATGGATAGTGGTGATGGTTGCACAACATTGTGAATATCACTGAATTGTACACCTAAAAGTAGTTAAAATGGTAAATTTTATGTGATGTATATTTTAGCACAATTACAAAATCAACAACAGCCCTGGCCAGTTTGGCTCAGCAGTTAGCGTGTCAGCCTGTGGACCAAAGAGTCTCGGGTTTGATTCTGGTCAAGGGCACGTACTTCGGTTGTGGTTCAGTCCCCAGCCCTGGTTGGGGTTGTGCAGGAGGCAACCAATTAATGTTTCTCTCTCTCTCTCTCTTTCCCTCCCTTCCTCACACTCTGTCTGAAAATTAAATAGGAAAATATCCTTGGGTGAGGATTAAAAAGAAAACAACTAACCACTAGCCAACACCACGTCACTACACTGCAGCTTGCAATTAAAAAAAAAAATGTACTGATTGATTTTACAGAGAGAGAGGAAGGGAGAGAAACATGGATTTGTTGTTCCACTCATGTATGCATTCTTTTTTTTTTTTCCTGTTAATTCTTACCCAAGGATATTTTTCCATTGATTTTTTTTAGATAGAGTGGAAGGAAGGGAGGGAGGGGGGGCGAGAGAGAGAGAGAGAGAGAGAGAGAGAGAGAAACATCGATGTGCCCACATTGATTGGTTACCTTCCGAAAGACCCTGACCAGGTCTGTTGTTTGAATCTGCAACTCAGGTATGTGCCCTTGACTGGGAATTGAACCTGAGACTCTTGGGTCCTCGGGCCAATGCTCTAATAACTGCTGAGCCAAACCAGTCAGGGCATTTTATGTATTCTTGTATGTGCCCTGATCAGGGATTGAACCCACAACCTTGTTGTATGGGGATGATGCTCTAACCAACTGAGCTATTCAGGGCTGAATTTTTTTTTTAATGTTTTCATTGATTTTTTAGGAAGAGAGAGAGATATAGAAACATCAGTGTGAGAGAGAAACATCGATCGGTTGTCCCCTGCAAACCTGCCACTGGGGATCGAGCCTGCAACCCGGGCATGTACCCTGACCAGGAATTGAACAGGGACTTCTCAGTTCATGGTATGACTCTCAATCCACTGAGCCACACCAGCTGGGTGCAATTGTTTTTTGATACCAAGATGTCTCCCAGGTTTAGGTCTGAGAGTCCCACTTCCCCCAAGTGGACTGAAACTTCTTGCTCTGTATATTGAAATCTGCAAACTACTGGCAGCAGGATCAAAACAAAAGAGGGCCTGATATGGTAAAGGAAGAAAATGGAATTCTAGTTATAGAATGAGGCTCAAGTCTGCCAGTGAGTGTCATCTCTGGCAAGCAGAACCACGAAGCCTCAGGCCCCCTCATCTGCATACTCAGTCTGCAGAGAATAAAGTCAGAAAGCCAAAGTCTGTTATGCGCCAGCTACATAGGTTTTGGCAGAACTCTGGAGACGCTGAGAAGGATTTCTCAGAAGCCCCCCTGAAAACAAGGATCATATGCATCTTCATTCATTCTACAGTCATTTGAATTACTGCTCTCTGCCAGCATTCATCAAGGTACTGGAGGGAACAGAAATTCTTGCCCTAGTGGAGTTTGTTCTGACATCTTGTTCTTTAGCTTACAGCATAGGGCCAGGTGCACAGTGGGTACTGAGTAAACACTAAATGAAGCAATTGGAGAAGAGTAGAATCTATCAGTAGAAACAGGCAGGATATCACTTTCTGGTACTCCTTAGCTTTGTGACGCTGGACTGACTGGATGGCCTCTGGTCAGTGGCTACATCCACCTAATGGGGTAAAATTGCTCGAGAGCACTGCTGGAGCAGCTGAGTTTGGGACACACTACCTGAACATTCCTCGTCTTATGATTTAGTAGGTCTCTTGTGATATTTCATTAGGGCTTTCTTTTTATTTTTTAAGAATTTAAAAAAATCTTATTAATTGATTTTAGAGAGAGTGTAAGGGAGGGAGGGAGAGACATCGGTTTGTTGTTCTACTTGTTTTTATGCATTCATTGGGTGATTCTTATATGTGCCCTGACTGGGGATCAAACCTTAACCTTAGGATATCAAGATGATGCTCTAACCAACTGACCCCCACCCCCTACCTGGCCAGGGCTTGATTAGGACTTTCAAAAGTAAAATAGCTCTAGCCAGATAACTCAGTTGGTTAAAGCATTGTCCCCCTATGCCAAAGTTGTGTGTTCTATCCCTTGTCAGGGCACATATAAGAAGCAACCAGTGCATGCATAAATAAGTGGAACAACAAATCAATGTTTCTCTTTCTTTCTCTATCAATCAATAAATTAAAAAAGAAAAATTTTTTTTCAAAAGTAAAATAAAAAGTTTTAAAAGTTCATTAAATAATACAAATGGCTATTGCCCATAAATATGCAAATTAATTCTGTTCTATGGAGGAAAATTATTTCACAGTTCCCACCACCATGGAAAAATCCAATTTTGTATTTATAAATTTAGTTTAGCATTCTTTTTTTTTTTTTTCTTTCCTCACCCGAGGACATTTTTCCATTTTTTGTTTAGATAGAGTAGGAGGGAGAGAGAGGAGGAGAGAGAGAGAGAGCGAGAGAAACATCGACATGGAAGGGACACATCAAGTGGCTGCCACCCACACGGCCGGGGACAAACTGCAACCAAAGTACGTGGAAACCGAACCCAAGTCTCTCTGGACTGCAGGCTGACACTCTAACCACTGAGCCAAACCGGCCAGGGCTATTTTAGTATTCCTGATGGACCTGTACATAGGTGAGGTTTTTAACTCTCATTTGAACTGATTGTAACTTCTTGCTGGTTTTCTCACAATGAGTTCAATAAAATCTCTGACATGCGTTCATTTTTAACAGCTGATTAGAAGACTATGTAGGAAAACTTACTATTTTAAGTGAAAAAAATAATTGTTATAGTGGAAGATAATTATAAAAACTAAATATATCCTGACTCTACTTGGAGGAGTATGTGTACCCCTTTGGCATACACTAGTGAAATCTAAAGCATCAGTTCAGCCATAAGATCTAGCAAATGCTAACTGTCATGCTTTGTCAGCATCAATACCAGTTCCAGGCTCTAAAAAGCTGAGATCCATGTGAGCAGAGAGAGGTTCTCCCATTGCTGCAAACCCACCCTGTCCCCAGCTAATTCTAATTCACTCACTTCATGACGCGCTTGGCCCCATAGCAGTGAAGATTGTAGGAAAGGGAGTATGTGCCATAGAGAGTAGCCTTTATGTTCAGGCAGCCAATGAAGTCCTGTGGGTTCATCTTGTACAAGTCGAAAGTTACACGAGCCACATCGATCTTCTTGGCAGGCTTATGGGAGAGGGAGAGTTGGTACCTAGAGCCCTGCATCAAGACAAGCACAAGGTTGGCACTTCTCAAGGACTTCTGACTCCCAGTGTCCTCGCTCCACAGGTGGTACCTCACCTGCTCTGATGGGGGCTGCCATTTCTGCCCCTTCTGGAGGACCATAAACACTGTGTCGTCTGCCAGGGTTTGGAAATAATCTTCTGTCTCTACTGCTGTGCCATCTTCCTCCAGCACTAGGAAGAAAGGCTTGTCTGCCAGTTTCAGAATGTCCCGGACCTGGGGAATAAGGTTAGTTATGCTTCTGCCATCCCCATGCAACCACAGAGCTGGTATGGCGAAGGCCCATATCACCCCCTCAGCTCACAGGGAAAGAACAAGTGGGCCAGGGTCTATGGATTGGGACTGGAACTCAGGTTCTTTCTGTGAGATGGTATCTCTTGGTACTTGGCATCATCATGGTTAATATTCTAGAAGAGTTCTGTCCAGTAAAAATATAATGGAAGCCACATATGTAAGTTTCTATTTTTTTTAAATATGTTTTTATTGATTTTTTTTAGAGAGAGAGGAAGGAAGAGAGATAGAAATATCGATGTGAGAGACAAACATCAATCAACTGCCCCCTGCACACTCCTGGGCATCAAGCCCACAAGCCGGGCATATGCCCTGACCAGGAATCGAAACAGGACCTCTCAGTCCATGGGACAACGCTCAATCCACTGAGCCACACCAGCCAGGCTGTATTTCTATATGAATTTTAGAATCAGTTTGTCAATATCTACAAAAAGAGAAGCTGGAATTTGTTGTTATTGTTAATCCTCACTCAAAGATATTTTTTTCCATTGATTTTTTTAGAGAGAGTGGAAGGGAGGAAGAGGGAGAAAGAATGAGAGAGAGAGAGGTAAGAGACACATTGACTGATTGCCTCCTATCATAGGTCCTGACCGGGGTCAAGGATTGAACCTACAACCCAGGTATGTGCCCTTGACTGGGAATCAAACCCACAACCCTTTGGTGCATGGGCTGGTGCTCTAACCATTTAGCAACACTGGCCAGGGTGAAGCTGGGATTTTGATGGGGATTGTACGGAATCTGCAGACCAAGTTGGGGAATATTGCCATTTTAACACTAATCTTCCAATCCCTGAGCACATCTGTCTTTTCATTATTTAGATCTTCTTTAGTTCTTCAGTTTAATTTATTTCAACAATGTTAATATTCAATCTGTAAGTCTTATATTTTTATTAATTTTATTCTTAAATATTTTATTTTTATTGATATTATTATAAATTGTTTTCTTAATTTTATTTTAGATTGTTTATTGCCAGTGTATGAAATTACAACTGATTTTTATATATTGATCTTATATCTTACAACCTTGCTGAACTCATTTATTAGCTCTAATTGTGTGTGTGTGTGTGTGTGTGTGTGAGTGTATGTGTGTGTGCACATGTGTGTCTGGATTCCTAAGAGTTTTCAATATACAAGATTATCATCTGCAAATAGAGATAGTTTCACTTCTTCTTTTCCAATTAGATGCCTTTTTAAATAATCTAGCCAAATTACCCTAGCTAGAACTTCCAGTATAATGTTGAATAGAAGTGGCAAGAGTAGATTCTTATCTTATTCCTGACTTTAGGGGAAAGCTTTCAGAATTCCGCCACTAAATATAACGTTAACTGCCAATTTTGCACTGATGCTCTTTATTTCACATATGTAATTTTAAAATTTCTCATAGCCACATTAAAATAAAAACAGGTGCCTGGCCGGTGTGGCTCAGTGGATTGAGTATTGTCCCATGAACTGAGAGGTTCTGGTTCAATTCATGGTCAGGGTACATGCCCGAGTTTTGGGCTTGATCCCTGGTGGAGAGCATGCAGGAGGCAGCCAATCGATGTTTCTCACATCAATGTTTCTATCTCTCTCTCTTAAAAATCAATAAAAAATATTAAAAACAAAAAATAAAAACAGGTGAAATTATTTGTAATATATTTAATTCACTCTAAAATATATATAAGATAAAAATTTATGATTTTACATTTTTTCATATTGTCTTCAAAATCTTATGTGTACTTTCTATTAAGCACATCTCAATTTCAGCTACATATGTTTTAAGAATTCAGTCACCACATGTAAGAAGTAGCTACTGCCTTGGATAGTGCAACTCTAGAGATGAACAGACCTAGGTTTGAATTCTAGTTTCCCTACTTCATTGTTCTAAACTTAGTCAAGTCACCTCATTTCTCTAAACTAGTTTCATCATCTAAAGAGTTAAGGCAAGTACAGTCTTAGAACCTTCACAATGATGAAATGCAAAAGTGTATGAGTTGATAGTCTGGGTTTAAATCCCAGTGAATAAACTTAGCCTCTGCTCCTAGAAAATGGGAATAACTACCTCAAGGTTATGATGATAAAAAATGCTATATATAAGTCATTTGGCAAAGTACATACTCCATAATGTGTATTGACTAAATTTTATACTATACTAATTAAAATGGAAAGAGACCCATGACATGTCATAGGATGAAAAGTCAGGCTCCATACTACATAACCCCATTTAAGTAAATTATATATAAGGATAGAATATTTAGGACATTCACAGTCACACCATTAGTTATCTCAGAATAGCAGAATTTTCATTTTTCTTACTTGGATTCACTAGAAAACATATTTTTCTCTTTTTTCTTTTAATCCTCACCCGAGGATATTTTTTCCATTTTTGTTCAGATAGAGTGGAAAGAGAGAGAGGGAGAAAGGGAAAGGGAGAGAAACATTGATGTGAGAGAGACACATCGACTGGTTGCCTTCCGCATGACCCCAACCAGGGTTGGGGATGAACCGCAACCGAGGTACGTGCCCTTGGCCAGAATCAAACCCGCAACTCATTGGTCCGCAGGCCGAGGCTCTAACTGCTGAGCCAAAGCGGCCAGAGCGCAAACATGTTTTTCTGCTTACAGTCCTTTAGTATAGGCTTGGGATGAGCAACACACCAACAGCAATGAATACACCTAGCTCCTAGACCTTGGTTTCTGAATACTATTCTGCACTGAAATGAAGCAGACCTCCTTAGAAAAAAATAATGAACTCAAGGGCTAGGTCAGGGAAAGTACAAGATGAGCCTGAAATATCTTGTTGCTCCAGAAAGTCAGAAAGCACAACAGAGAAATGGGGCTAAAGGGAGTCAGTCCCACTGGCCAAATCTGGGACAATTTGAGCATCAATAAATAATCTGTTACCATCGTTATATCCCATTTAAATGGGGATACTTGAGTCCTTTTTGATATAAGTAAATGAGTAACTTGAAAATTTAGATGCAGAATGAGCTTTTACTTAGTACAAAGTACTTCCCTAGAAAATAATTAACACAAAGGGAAAAGTAATAACTTTATATAGAGAAGCCTGACTGTACCTTTTAAATTTTCTTTTACTTATATTTTAGAGAAAGAGAGAAACAGATATTTTGTTCCACTTATTTATGCATTCATTGGTTGATTCTTGTATGTGTCCTGACTAGGGATCAAACTCCCAAACCTAGTATATTGAGACGATGCTCTAACCAACTGAGCTACCCAGTCAGGGCCCTGACTATACCTTTTCATTCAAATATTCAAAGTTAAACAGTAATGTGACAAAACAAAATTGTATGCAATTAAATAATTCTAAACTAAAGGAGAGTAAACAAAACAACTGGTTTATAATCTTCACAACAGTCAAGGCCATGAAAGTCAAGGAAACTAAAGAACTATTTCAGATTGAAGGAGGCTAAAGAGATGCACAATTCCCTGGCCAGACAGCTCAGTTATTTACAGCATTATCCCCATTACCTCAACCAATCGATGTCTCTCTGTCTGTTTCTCTCTCTCCCTCCCTTCATCTCTCTCTTTGTCTCTCTCTCTGTCAAATCAATCAATCAATCAATCAATCAATCAATCAATCAATACATTTAAAAAGAGGGTCATAATTAAATAGAACACTTGACCTCAACCTGAGTCCTTTTGGTATAAAGCACATTATTGGAATAATTGGAAACACTTCAATGGAGTCTCAAGGTCAAATGGTAGTTACATAATATTGTATTTTCCTTGATTTTAATGGTTGTATTAAAGTATCCAAGAATGATAGGCATCAGGTTGACAACTTACTCTCAAGGGTTTCAGGAAGTCTCATATTGTCCTTGCAACTTTTGTTAGTTTGAAATTGTTTCAAAATTAGTTTTTTGTTTTTTTGTTTTTTTAATCCTCCAATAGCTTAGTATTAGCTTTTAACATGAAACACAACTGTTTTCTGCCATCGCCAATAAGGGACTTCATACCTTGGTCTCTGCCAACCATATCTCCTTACTCTCTTCCCTCACTCTCTCTGCTCCTTTCTTTCTGTTGCCAAATTTGGAAAGGCAGTCTAGATAGAAGGATGTCCTCCCTGCTCTATTGGTAACTTTTACTTCTGACCTGTGGTCCATCTTAGAAAGCTGGACCCTCACTGCTGTTCCTTATATCCTCTGGAGTTAGGGCTCTGACTAGGAATTCCCAAACTCAGTGGTTGTAAGAGTTTCCCGAAGAACCTGCTAAAAATTGCAATTCCTATGTCTCACTCTTGACCTAGTCAGTCTCAGGGGAAGAAGTCTGGGAAGCCATGTGTTAACAAGGTCATTTTAATGCATAAGGTGGTCCCCAAACCTCAGGGTGAAAAATAGTGCAGAGTCTAGACTCAAGTGTGAAAGAGCCCTTTTGATTCAAGGCACAAGAAATGTAGTCTGGAACAACCAGAAGCCTCACAGGGGAGGGGAAATTGGCTTCCAGGAAGAATGGACCTAATTCAGAGAAATGGGAGAGAGTACCTACAATAGAGGGTTAGGTTGGCTATGATTTCTATATGTTAAACAGACTAGTAATTGGAAGCCTAATTCAAACATTTGAACTGTGAACTATGTCAGGCCTCTGGACTTGCGGATAAACAGGGTCCCGCCCACTGGAGCTGATATGCTCAGGGGCAGTGAAGCGCATGACTAACCTGGAGCCAGAATAGGTGAAGCTGTCAGCTGGGCAGTAGGAGAAGATTCCCCCAACCTGTGGAGAGGGAGCCTGGAAATGGGGAAGGGTGTCATTCTTGCCTGCTGTGACTCCATCTACAAGCACTGTATATCCTTGGTTTCCTCCACTGAAAGTTTGCCTGATTAACAGTTTGAAGAAAGTCTTCCACTGCTAGAGAAAAGGGCTTGCATGGAAGGCCAACGTAGGAGGCAGACTGAGAACTGCCCTGGCTGAAGGGAGGAGATGGGGAAGGGAAAGTCTAAAATCTTGCCCATTTCCCCAACTTCCAGGCACTTCTACAAGTTTAAGAACAATTAGAAAAGGCAACCTAAGGATCTTTCCAGAAAGAAAATATGCTTTGAAAATACCACTAGGAAGACACTATTCTAACCCTCCCCTGTCAACAGACAGACATCACTAATCAACTGGACAGCACTCCAGGCAGGCACTACCAACCCATTTGACCTGGCCTGAGAAAGAAAATCTTTTTACCATGTGAGCCATGAACTTCATTCTTGCTGAACTCCCAGCTCATGACCTGGAGGACAGAGGCAGCAGGCAGGGCCAACTCTGAGCCAAGGTCTCAGTGCTGGGGCTGTGCAGAGGTCAGGCCCACCCCTCACCTTGCGGAGGAGGTCCTCCAGACTGTGCGCCATGATGCCTTTCCGCACACTCCGGTCCTGGGTGCTCACTTTGCAGGGCCGGACTCTGAGGGCCTCTGGGCTGGGCTCTGACAGCAGCTGCTGGGTCACCACTGAGGTGCTCACTGCCACATACCTAGGGGTGGTTTTGGGCATTAGAATAAGCTGTCCGCTTCTTCCCAGCTCTCACCCCATAGCAGGGTAACTCACTTCCCAATCCCTCTAGGCTGAGCTCACCATATTCCTCCTTTCTTACTACCTGCCAACCCTGCGATAGCCTTACTCAAAAGTCAGCTACCTCAGTGCATCGCAGACTTTAATGGGCATATGTCCTCTGGGGATCTTGGTGAAATGCAGATTCTGATTCAGTAGGTCTGGGTGGGCTCTGAGATTCTGTATGTCTAATAAGTTCCTAAGTGATACTGACTCTGCTGGTTCTCCGGCCATGAGGAGGAACAAAGTGAGAGCAGACCCACCCCACGTTCTCCCAATTCCACTTTCCTCTCTTGGCCTCACTCTTCTCACCTGTAAAGTGAGATGAATTGGCAAAGCTGACATCAGTGTAAGGTATTTTTGTTTTGTTTTTAATCCTCACCCGAGGACACTTTTTGCATTCATAGAGTGAGAGGGAGAGAGGGAGGAAGAGAGAGAGAAAGATCAATGCGAGAGAGACACCTCGAGTGGTTGCCACCCACACAACCCCAACCGGGGCCGGGGACAAACTGCAAGGGAGGTATGAGGTATGTGCCCTTAGCGGGAACCAAACCCGGGTCTCTCCAGACCGCGAGCCGATGCTCCAACCGCTGAACCAAACCGGCCAGGGCATGAACTCTGACATACACAATGTAGAATCAAAGTTGTGGAGGAAACCTGGGTTTTGGAGTCAGGCAGGGAATCCTGGCCCCACAACCTATTTGCTAGGTGACTGAGAGCATCCACCCTGTGTCCCAGTTTCCTCCTCTATTAATTCGGTATAATAATTCTCACTTCCCTAAACTGTGGTGAGGTTTAAATGAGATCCAGAATGAAGCACCAAGCACAGTGTGGTGCTGGTTGGGGCTGTGAACCAAGCATTAACGCCACCTGAGGGCTTGTTGGAAGTGCAAAATCTTGGGTCCTACTCCAGACCTCCGGATTCAGAATCTGCATTTTATCAAGATACCCAAGTGACTTATGTGGCACTGAAATTTGAGAAGCTCTGCCCTACAGCTCACAGGTAGCTCCCCTTCCCTTCTACCCTTGGCTCTCCTCACCTGGATAGGGACTTGGGGTTGAGAAGGCTGAGGGACTTCATGGCATATTCCATCCTTGTCAGCTGGACTGCATTGGACCTGGGAAGGAAGCAGAAACAGCTCATTACGGTGGACTGGGAGGGCTTCCTCTCTCTCATCATTTAATAAAGTACAACTCAACCCCTATCCAGCAAGCTTCCACTCTGGTCTCCCCTCTCAACTCATAGACACCTTCCCCACCCCTTCTCCTGTCCAACCCCATGCACACCAACTGGAGACCCCCTCAGTTCCCACGCTCAGCCCCACTCAGCAGCAGCTCCTCCCTCCCTAGTACCACTCACTCCATGTTTCTCTGACTCTGGCTCTGATCACATTGATCAGGGATCCCAAGTTGGAGCTAGAGGCCCAGCCTGGTTAATCCCTGTCCCTGGGGGCAGAGTCCACTTCATGCTGGCAGGAGGTGAGTCACACCACCTCACACTGTTGGGGACTGTTCCCTCAACTGTAGTCCAGAGACATCACAGGTCAGGCCCACACAGGCCAGGCAGCCCAGTCTAAGCCTGCTCTCCTGTAGGTCCTTGAGCAATCCAAACCCTCCTGAGGCTTCCCACTGACTAAATGGATTTTCCTTTCTTCGATGATGGAGACATTCTGTATCTATTCTCTGTTTCCAGAGCTATTAGCCTCATGTGGCTATTGAGCACTTGATATGTTGCTAGTACGCTAGTAAGGAGCTGGATTTTTTTAAAATTTTATTTAATGCTAACTGATTTAAATTTAAATAGCCACTGTGTCTATGGCTATTGGCAACCATGCTGGACAACACAGCTCTAGCTGATAGCCTTGGGCTCACCTGCCCCACTTTATCACCTAGCCCCCTGTGCTCCAGCTTTTGCACAGGTAGTCCCCTCCACTTGCATTGCCTTCCTCTGGCCCAGGGCTAAATGTTTGTAGCTTTGAAGCCCCAGTTGCATTGCTTTCCACTCCTTGGAAAGCCTTCTTACACGGCTCACAAAATTTCTTCTTCAAACTGCCCTTCCTACACTTTAGCCAAGTGTCTGTTTCTGCCTTCGCCCTGGGTGCCTGACCCTGAGATGTTCTCCCTAGTCCTAACTCCCAGCACAGAGAGGGCCTGGAACAGAGCAGGGGGCTCAAGGAGTGGTCATGGAAGAAAAGCCCCCTTCCCAGTCAGGTTAAATCACTCTTTCCTTCTAACAACTTGGGGAAGGGGCCTCCTCAGGCCTGCCGTGCCTGTGAAAGCCCTCTCCCCCACTTTGCACTACCCGTCTGCTTGTCCTGGCCTCACTCCTCACTCCCACTCCCTATCCACAGCAAAGCTCCGCCAAGCTCCACCTCACCTGCTCTCCAAGAGCCAAAAACAAAACACCCCAAAGCAAAAAACTCCTTACCTCCCCCTCACAGTGTCCTAACCTTCGTATAGTACTGCCCTGCTCAGCCCAGCCCTTCCTTCATTTTATTTCCAGCTCCCGGGGGGAGCCCCTCCCCTGGCCTCCAGTGCCAGCTGGGGAAAAGAGCATGGGGATCAAGTGTACAGCTCTCACCCTTGGGATTTCAGGCCAGCCTAACTTCCCAAAAATGCCCCAAAGGAGGGGAGGAGGCATGTTACGAGAGCTCTGGGACAGAGTCAGGCCCAGGACATGATAGCAGGCACAGAGGGCACGGAGAACAGCCTATATGCTATGTGGGTTGTGGCTCCAGTGCCACCCATGTTAACTGATGGAGTGTAGACAAGTTGCCTTATGTCTATGAGCTCCAATTTCTCTCTCTGTACAGCAGAGAATAATGATTCCTGGGAAAGAGGATTGAGTGAGGATTTGTGGTAATACGAGTAAAGGCTTTGCAACAAAGACATTTAATAGATAGAAGAGAATTTTGGTGTTATTAATAAGAAACATATATTATAAATACATAAATTTATAAATATATAAAAATTTATTTATATATGTGTATATATATGTGTGTGTGTGTTTATATATATATACATATATATGTGTGTGTGTGTGTGTGTGTGTATAAATAGCCCTGGCCGGTTTGGCTCAGCGGTTGGAGTGTTGACCTGCGGTCTGGAGAGACCTGGGTTCGGTTCCCATTGAGGGCATGTACCTCGGTTGCAGTTTGTCCCTGGCCCCGGTTGGGTCATGTGGGTGGCAGCCACTTGATATGTCCCTTTCATATCAATGTTTCTCTCTCTCTCTCTCCTTCCCACTCTATCTGAACAAAAAATGAAAGAATGTCTTCCGGTGAAGATAAAAAAAAATATGTATATATATATATATTCTTCAAGAGACATAAAAACGTATGCCCATACAAAAACTTATACATGAGTATTCATAGCATTATTCATAATAGCCAAAAGTTAGAAACAACCCAAATGTTCATCAATTGATGAATAGATAAAACAATGTGGTATATCCATATAAAATATTATTTGTCAATAAAAACAATAGATGCTATTACATGGATGAACTTTGAAAACATATGCAAAGTGAAAGAAGCCATTCACAACAGATCATATGTGTGTGTGTGTGTGTATTTTTTTTTTATCCTTACCCGAGGACATTTTTCCATTTTTTATTCAGACAGAGCAGGAGGGAGAGAGAGGAAGAGAGAGAGAGAGAAACATCGACGTGAAAGGAACACATCGAATGGCTGCCACCCGCATGACCCAACCAGGGCCAGGGACAAACTGCAACCGAAGTACATGCCCTTAGCAGGAACTGAACCTGGGTCTCTCTGGACCACAGGCTGACGCTCTAACCGCTGAGCCAAAACGGCTAGGGCACATATATGTTTTTATGATTCCACTTTAATGAAATATCCAGGATATGCAAAACTATAAAGGCAGAAAATATATTGGTGGTTGTTTAAGGCTGGGCTGGGGAATGAAAGGGGAATGGGAATGACTGTTAATGGGTATGGGGTTTCTTTCAGGGGAGACAAACATGTTCTAGTCCATTAATCTAATCACAATTCATTTTGACAATGGTTGCACAACCCTATAAATATAGTAAAAAACAATGAATTGTATATTTGAGTGAGAAAATTGTATGGTATGTGAATTATATTTCAATAATGCAGTTTTTTTTAAAAAGAGTCCGTCCCACCTGGATGGGGTTGAATCTCCCAGGGAGCGGCCGCTGACTCTCCCCAGAGCCCTGGGAAGGAGTAAGGTGACCACCATCCTGTGTGGCTGAAACTCAGCAAGAGCTCTGAGCACCCTCCAAATCCCAAGTATCCCCACACAGTTCCAGTCCTGTCCACCCTCCCTCTGCTGGAGTCCAAGAAACAATGGAGGCCAGAAAACAGTGGAGCAATATTTTTAAAGTGCTGAAAGAAGAAAAACACAACACTGTCAACCCAGAATTCAGTATCCAGAAAAACCTAATATTCTAGAGTGAAGGTGAAATAAAAACATTTTCAGAAAAAAGAAAACAAAGACCTGAACTACAAGACCAGCGGATCTGCACTAGAAGAAATACTAAAGGAAGTTCTTTAGGCTGAAGGAAAAATGAAGCCAAATGGGAGCTGGGATCTTCAGTATGGAATGAAGAGCACCTAGAACGATGTATATTCAGGTAAGTAGGAAGCTCCTTGGCAGTTGGCTGCAGGAAGCTCACCCAAAGGACAGAGACATGGGTGCACTAGTAAAACCAGCTCCTGGATGGATGTCAGCTGGAAGAGAAAATTTTGAGTGTGTAGCTATGATGTTTATATACTGACCCCTGAACACACTTTCTGGGAACTTGCGCCTGGGGTAGAAGTTGGAGAAGGAGGTGGGAAATGATTGCTTTATTTATCCAAAAAGGAGAACAACAAAACGGCTTGATTATTGATGGAAAAGCAAAGGTTATATGTTTGGGCAGTTTTAAAGAATTTTAAAGAGGGCAGGAGAGGGCTGTGGCCATCTCAGTGACAGCAGCAGCCTGATAGTATTTGATTTTTCTTTAGTTACTTTAGTTTCCTTAGTTCTTAGAGTTCTATTGCTCCTAACTCCTCAGAAGACCTCAATGCGCTGTGAAGAGTAAACACACGACAACCTAGTTTTGTACATACCAGCAATGAAAGCAGCTATAGAAACGGAGTAAACTGGGGGAATTTAACAACAAGCAACAATCAAGTTTCAAGTAAAAACAAGAACAGTTTTTGTAGAAATCATAGACATAAGAGTAATAGAAAGGATAGATATGAGTACTTCTGTCTGCTATAGTGACACCTGAGCTGAACAGAAGGCCTGATGGTTAGAAACTTGAAATAGAGAAGGGATATTCCAAACCAAGAGAATAGCAAGAGCAATAAAAGCATGAGGGCATGAAGCAGCAGGTTGGAGAACTTCAAGTCATTCCAAGAATTTTGCACCTTTACCCAGCTAGCTTCTTATGTTTTATATTCAGCAAATGATTGCTAACTATTTGCCAATCACTGTACTAATTGTTCATGTTCATTATCTCACAATAATCTTATTAAATAGGTACTATTATTATTCCCATTTTATAGATGAGGAAACTGAGGCTTTGAGATTTAAAATAACTTACCCAAAGTCATACAGGTAGTAACCAGTGGAGGCAGTAGTAAACCCCAGGCAGTATTACTCATCTAGAGCCTGTCTTCTTAGCCTTTACTTGTCTCCCAAAGTAAGCAAACAAACAAAGCTTTCAACTGAAGAAGTTACCGTTTGGGTGTTCTTAAGCCTTCTTGTTTGCTGGAATCTATGGGCCTCTGAATATTTAAATAATATCCCATGAAACCTCTGCCATAGCAACTCAACATTTCAGAAGATAATGAGGTGAGGATGGGTGGAGCTTACACTTCTTCAAGTTGTCTCTGACTGTGAGTTCCTGTGTTGATTCAACACCAGAGCCTCAACTCTCACTTTAAAAAAAAATTTTTTTTCTTTTATTTATTTTAGAGAGAGAGGAAGTAAGAGGGAGAGAGAGATAGAAACATCGATGAGTGAGAACATCGATTGGCTGCCTCCTGCATGCCCTGCACTGGGGATCAGGCCCAGGTGTGGGCATATGTCCAGCTATCTGAGCATCCATTAGCTCAGTCAAATTGACATGCAGAATTTTTTTTTTTTTTTCATCCTCACCGGAGGACGTTTTTCCATTTTTTTGTACAGATAGAGTGGGAGGGAGAGAGAGGAAGAGAGAGAGAGAGAGAAACATCGACGTGAAAGGGACACATCGAGTGGCTGCCACCCGCACAACCGACCAGGGCCGGGGACAAACTGCAACCGAGGTACGTGCCCCTAGCGGGAACCAAACCCAGGTCTCTCAGGACCGCAGGCCGACGCTCTAACCGCTGAACCAAACCGGCCAGGGCTGACATGCAGAATTAACCATCACAATGGACTGTGTTTGCTGTGTCCCATAGACTTTGAGTTGTTCTCATTTTCATTTGTTTCAAGGTATCTTTTGATTTTTTCTTTGATTTCATTGTTAATTCATTCATTGTTTAGTAACATGTTATTTAGCTTCCATGTGTTTGTGTAGTTTGCAGTTGTTTTCTTGTCATTGATTTCATACCATTATGGTCAGTAAAGATGCTTAATGTTAATTAAATCTTCTTGAATTAAAAAAAAAAAGTCTGAGCTCATTTTTCTTTTAATCCTCACTTGAGGGTATTTTTTCCATTGATTTTTTTTTTTTTTTTAGAGCGAGTGGAAGGAAGGGAAGGGGTAGAGAGAGAGAAACACTGATGGGAGAGAGACACATCGATTGGTTGCTCCCCATATGACCCCAACTGGTGATGGAACCAGCAACCCAGGTATGTGCCCTTGATGGAATCAAACCCGTGATCCTTTGATCTTTGGGCCGATGCTCTAACTGCTGATCCAAACTGGCCAGAGCTTCATCTTTCTTTTACCACAGGGTTTCACACTAGTGCATCAGAGTTACCTAGAGGGTTTGTTAAAATTCAGATTGCTATGCTCCACCCCAGAATTTCTGATTCAGTATGTCTGGGGTGGGGCCTAAGAAAGTGTATTTTAAACAGATTCCTAGGTAATGGTGAAGCTATGGCTCCTTAGGTACAACACTTTGAAAATCAGCAGTCTAGCACTAGCTGTGTGATGAAACTCCTCTGGCAAATGGGGATTAAAAATAACTCCTACTCCACTGGGTTGTCATGAAGATTAAATGAGATAATTATGAAATGTACTAGCTGTAAAGTTTAGTACATTTGTCAGGTTCAATAAATAGCTATTATAATTATTTTCATCATCATTATTTAGATCTAAATCCTTCCCTGGAAGAGCTCATAGGCAACCATCATTCATTCATTCAACAACTATTTATTAGTCACTTACTATGTGTCAGCCTTCCTTGGGGATGAGAATATACCAGGAAACAAGGCAGCCTTGTCCCACACTTCAAGGAGCTAACATTACTGGAGGAGGGGGGAGAACTCTGATTATAAACAAATATGCAAATAAACAAAGTAATTTCAGATAATGATGTTCTGGGAAGAAAACAAAAACAAGATGATTTGACAACAAATGGCTGGAGAGCTGGGTTAGCCTTGGGCTTAGGAAAGTCTGAGGGGAGGTGACTTTCAGCTAAATCCTGACTCGTGAGAAGCCAGTCTTTTGAAGCCCTGGAATGTCTTAGTCCATTCGGGCTGCTATAAAAGAATACTATATACTAGTGGCTTATAGACAACAGAAATTTATTTCTCATAATTCTGGAGCCTGGCAAGTCCAAGATTAAGGCGCCGGTAGATTTAGGGTCTGGTGAGAACTTGCTTCCTGGTTCATAAACAGCCCTCTTCTCTCTGTGTCCTCCCATGGTGGAGGAGCAAGAGAATCTCTTTTATAAGGACACTACTCCCATCTCCCCAAAACCCCACCTCCAAATTCCATCACATTGGAGATTAGGTTTCAACATAAGAATGAGAGGTGGATGGGGAGGCACAAACATTCAGTCTATGGTATTCTGCCTGGGCCTGGAAGCATCTTTTGAAGTCCTGGGGGAGGCAAAGGAAACATCAACGCGAAGAATTTGAGAAGGGAATGAGCAGGATGAGGAGACAGGAACACAAATTACTAAACTTTAAGAAGGCAGACCAAACACCAGAAGAGAAGCATAAACATACTTTAGGGAGAAAGTTCTGGGGTAAGAGTTGCGGTCCCTCCCTTGTACAGTCACACCTAAAACATTTATTGAACAACGTGTGCTTGGTGTCCCATGATGAATGGATGACTCAGAAGCAGTCTAGCCCTGAGGTACACCTGGTGCATCATGGACCATGTACACAATAAAGACAAAGATAACGAAAAGCCAAAGATAGAGAATATCTGCCAGAGGGTGGGGGTGGGAGGTTGTGGGTAGGGGTGGAGGGAAGAAATGGGAGAATGGCTCCATGAACCTGAGAATTCTTCACAGTACTTAGGAGAAGAGGATGATTTTGGTTCAGTTGAATTTATTTATTCAACAGCATTTCTTGAGCTTCTACACTGTGCTAGGCATAGTGGGCTGCTGGGGACACAGATGATTCAACTCCTATTCCTCTTTTTGAAGAGATCACATTCTAACGGGTGAGGCAAATGTCTGAGCATGGTTCTCAAATTATGAAGTGTGTAAACTCATATGAGACACCCTGGAGTCGAGAAGGTCTAGCTATGACTCAAAATTGAGAATAAATTAAATTATAAATTAATATGAAATAAATTATATTAATATAAATGAATATAAAATGAATATAAAATAAATTATACATTTGCTCTGGCCAATGTGGCTCAGTTGGTTGGGTATCATCCTGTGCACAAAAAGTTAATGGTTCGATTTCTGGTCAGGGTCTGTACCTGGGTTGTGGGCTAAATCCCTGGTAGAGGGAGCGCAGGAGTCTCTCTCTCTCTCTCTCTCTCTCTCTCTCTCTTTCTCTCTCTCTCTCTTTCTCTCTCTCTCTTTCCTTCTCTCCTTCTCTATTCCTCTCTCTCTAACAAATAATAATAAAAAAAATCAACCCAGCAGGTGTGGCTCAGTGGATTGAGCATCCTTCCATGGACTGAGAGGTACCAGTTTGATTCCCAGTCAGGGCACATGCCCAGGTTGTGAGCTTGATCCCCAGTAGGGGGCGTGCAGGAGGCAGCCGATGGATGTTTCTCTCTCCCTCTTTCTAAAAAATCAATTAAAACGTATTTTTAAAAAGTTATACATTCAACTACATTAAAATATTCTGCATGTTAAACTTGTAATATCATGAGTAAAATTAAAGATGTACAATGAATATAAAAAATACATTGCAACTAGTATTACAAACAAGAGACTACTCTGTCTCTCTCTCTCTCTCCTCCCTCTTTTATCTATATATAAATTAAGAAGACGGCACTAGCCCTGGCCAATTTGGCTCAGCGATTAGAGCATTGGCCTGTGGTCCAGAGAGACCCGGGTTCGGTTCCCGCTGAGGGCATGTACATCGGTTGCAGTTTGTCCCCGGCCCTGGTTGGTCGTGCGGGTGGCAGCCACTCAATGTGTACCTTTCACGTCGATGTTTCTCTCTCTCTTTCTCTCTCTCCCTCCCACTCTATCTGAACAAAAAAATGAAAAAATGATCTCGGCTGAGGATTAAAAAAAGAAAAGAAGACCGCCCTGGCCAGTTTGGCTCAGCTGTTAGAGCATCAGCCCACAGACCGGGGAGTCTCGGGTTCGATTACGGTCAAGGGCACATATCTCGGTTGTGGTTTGTCCCTGGCAACCAATTGGTGTTTCTCTCTCTCAACTCTATCTGAAGATAAATGGAAAAATATCCTTGGGTGGGTATTAAAAAAAGGAAGACCAAAAAAAGGAAGACCAACAACATAGTAGAAAAATGGGCAAAGAATATGAACACAGTTCAGGGAAATGAAATACAAATGACCCTTAAACATATAAAGAGATGTCTATATTTTTTTCAGATAACATAATTAAAATTTTCTTATTTTATGTATTTATTTTCCCAACATAAAATTAACCATTTTAAGTGTACAGTTCAGTGAAATTAAGTATTTTCACATTATTGTGCAACCATCACCACATTCATCTCCAGAAGTCTTTTATCTTCCTTTTCATTTTTGTACCCTTTATTTTTGTAAAATATGTTTTTATTGATTTTTTTTAGAGAGAAAGAGAGGAAGGGAGAGAGAGATAGAAACATCCATGTGAGAGAGAAACATCAATCGGCTGCCTCCTGCACGCCTGCCACTGGGGATGGAGTGGGCAACCCAGGCATGTGCCCTGACACGGAATCGGAATCCAACCGGGACCTCTCAGTCCATGGGTGACACTCAATCCATTGAGCGACATCAGCTGGGCTCATTTCTGTACCCTTTAAACAATTCCTCATTCTCTCCTCCCCTATCCCCTGGCAACCACCATTCAACTTTCTTCCTCTACATAATTTCTTTTTCTTTTATGGCCTTGAGTTTATCTGTCGTCTCTTCCTGATTAGATACAGGTTAAGTACCTTTGGCAGAAATATCACAGAACTGAGGCTGTGTATCTGAAAGTACAGGTGTCGTTAGTTGTCAAATTAACTTTGATTACTTGGTTAAAAGAATACACCCAAGTTCTCTCCAAAGTTACCGACCGGTTTCTCTTTGCAACGATTATGTGTAATCCATGGGTAGATATTTCGAGACTGAGATGTATGCTCTTGGGAAAGTTACAGAACCCTTCCAAGCATCAGTTTCCCCATCTGTGAAGTGGAGGCAGCGACCTCTTAAACTCATATGAGAGTTTAAGAAAGTGAAAGTGCTCAAAGTACTCTGCTTCAGACAGAAGGCAAAAAGATGACATTGCTGCGGGTTAACAGAGCGAGTAATTTCTTGCTCACTCGGCTGGCGAGGCGGCCAGGGCGGGGCCTGGAGAGACCGCGTGCGCGTTAGCGTGCGCAGGCGCGAGAGGAGAGCGACCACAGAGTCGGTCCTCCTGCGACAGAGAGGCCGGAAGTTGTTCTCACAGAACCGTGAGACAGCTGGGGTTCAAGAGTTGAGGCGGCGCGAACAGGGTCTGTGGCTGGGCTTCTGCGTGAAGGACTCCGGCGTTCTGGGCAGTGCCAATGGCGTCTCGAGCAGGCCCGCGAGCTGCCGGCACAGACGGCAGCGACTTTCAGCACCGGGAACGCGTCGCCAGGCACTACCAGATGAGGTATGAAGTGAGGCGAGGAGCTCCGAGGCCCTCTCCCCGGCCGTCCCTGTAGTGCCGGGGCAGGCTCTTATTCCCCAGTCTGTCCACGCTTACCTGCCAAGCCCCCTCCTCCGGTGACGGCCCAGGGCCTGTCCCCATCCTAGAAAGCCCAGTCGCACCCTTGGGTCCACCCCTTGATCCGCCCTGTGCCTTGAGGGGCTGCAACCCGCCCGGGCTCCAGTCCTGGTGATGCTGGCCCCACTGTGTGACCTCGAGAACCTTAGTTCTAATTGAGCCTCAGTTTCCTTACCTGCAAGAGGAAAATAGTAATAGAGCTTTTAGGTTTGGGTGAAGAATTAATGAGCTAATAATTCGTATGAAAGATATAGTATAAGATCTAGCACAAAATACGAGTCTGCCCAATACATGATAGCTGTTACTTTTAGGGACCTTTGGGGAATGTGGACAGTAAAGGCTAGCCTTTCCCTGCCTAAAATGAATTTTATAAACACCCCCACGTAAGGGGTATTTTTACATTACCCCTTCAACAAATATTTATTGAGTTTCTATCTACTAGGCATTTTGTGCTAGGCACTGAGGATATAATAGTGAGCAAAAGTAGACCTGGTCTTTGTATGCATGTTATAACCTCAATAAAAAAAACTTATTAATAAAACAAACAAACAAAAACGGTTCCTGTCTTCATGAATGTTGAAGTCTAGAGATGACTGACTTACCTACCTTTTCACACTTTCTATAATAAATATTTTTTAAATAAAAAATTTAAAGAGTTCCCCCCCTTAAATCCATTTAATTCTTCCAGCATACTTTTTGCATCTTTCTCTCCAGAGTTAAAAATAAATTATTGATTTTAGAGAGAGGAAGTGAGAGGGAGAGAGAGATAGAAACATTGAAGAGAGAGAACATCAATTGGCTGCCTCCTGCATGCCCCCCACTGGGGATCGGGCCCACACCTGGGCATGTGTCCTGGCTGGGAATCAAACTGGCGACCTCTTGGTGCATGGGTCGACACTCAACCACTGAGCCACACCCGCCAGACTCTCTCCAGAGTTTTAAAGAATGGACCCTGACTTCATTTTTATCAAATTCTTATCCTTAAGTCCCCTCCCTGCCCATGGACACCTTACAATCTAAGCATTTTCATGCTTTCCCAGAGCGGAAACTCTCTTCCAGCATGTGAAGAGGATACATTTAGTACCTGAAAGAGTTAGAGGAATGAAAAATAATGTATTTCCTTTAGATGGAACAGTCTGTTGTAGCTGAAGAGCAGCCTGAGCCATTTTTCTCACTGCCAATACCTCCTTCCTCTGTGCTACACCCCTAGGGTGCAGTCAAAGTCATCTTTCAAAACACAGCTCTGAGTTACCCTTCTGCCTTTAAATGGACTATTCATAGTCATTGCAACTTCATATCCTGCTACTCTTTTCCCCTCTATGGTGTAGTCCTGCCATACCCAATCACTGGCTTTCCTGGAACACAAATGCCTGTGTTTGTTTTGTTTTGATTTTTGCCTGCATGCAATTACCTCTGCTTGGAATGCCCATCTCTTTTCACCTCTCAGAGCCTAGCTCAGATGTCACCCTTCTCTAAATAGCCTTCTCAGACATCCCATCCCAAACAGAATTGACTACTGCTTTCTATGATCCCCTGTATCTTGCAACATATATTTACTAGAGCTCTTCCAGTTTGTTTTCTATTAATTTTTCTTCTTCTGTTTCTTGTGCCCAACCTCTGGACAGGAACCAGATTTTATTCACATTTGTATCCCATTGTCCAGTATACTTGCCTGACATGATTGGTCAGAAAATTTTGAATGAAAGGAAATTCTCCCTCTGCTCTGCCCCACAGTGTGACGCTCAAGTATGAAATCAAGAAGCTGATCTACGTGCATCTGGTCATGTGGCTGCTGCTGGTTGCCAAGATGAGTGTGGGACACCTGAGGCTCTTGTCACATGATCAGGTGGCCATGCCCTATCAGTGGGAGTACCCGTATTTGCTGAGCATTGTGCCCTCTCTCTTGGGCCTCCTCTCCTTCCCCCGCAACAACATTAGCTACTTGGTGCTCTCCATGATCAGCATGGGGCTCTTTTCCATCGCTCCCCTCATATATGGCAGCATGGAGATGTTCCCTGCTGCACAACAGCTCTATCGTCATGGCAAAGCCTACCGCTTCCTCTTTGGTTTTTCTGCCGTCTCCGTCATGTACCTGGTATTGGTGCTGGCGGTTCAAGTGCATGCCTGGCAGTTATACTACAGCAAGAAGCTCCTAGACTCTTGGTTCACCAGCACACAGGAAAAGAAGCGTAAATGAAGCCTTCCTGGTGGACTGATCTCTGGTGTGAAGCCTGGCTCACTAGTACTTCCATTGAGAGGAGTGAAAGGGTAGAGCAGCTGTTCTAAAATTTCCTTTGGTAATTTTGGCAGCTGTGATGTTGGCAGCTATTGCAAACTAAGCCCAAGTTCTGGAAAGCTGCTATTATTGTCATCAGCTGAGGTGGCAAAACTGTATTTAACATATTCCTGGTTGGCTGGAACTGGGTGAAGAACAAGCTGTAAAACTTCAGCTAGTTTGAGTTGAAGCCCTTCAGGACTTTTTTTTAAAAAGACAGCCTCATCTTTGCCTCTTGGTCATTCTCTCCATTTTCATCCATTATCCCATAGCTACCGAGACCGAAGGATATGGGAAATAACCAAATTCTACTTCAATCTATGGGTTGTTGGGAGGAAACATTTAGGAGGCTGCTTTCCCTGCAGGCTGTGGTCTCTACTCTGAAGCGTTTTAATGAAAAAGAACCTCAATAAAGTTATAACTGCCCTGTCCACCCTGTGCCTTGTGTTTGGGATTTAACAGTGTGAATGGTGCATTGCTTGAGTGGCTTTAGACAATAGGAGATAGGTGGAAAACCTGGTAGTTGCCATAGACAAGTGGACTGGGTGTAAGGAACTTAAGTCATAATGCCACCCTGTAACTGATTGGCAGGAACTTTCATGGACCGTACATTTAATCTCTTCACCTTTTTTTTTTTATCCTCACTTGAGGACATTTTTCCATTTTTTGTTCAGATCGAATGGGAGGGAGAGAGAGAGAGAGAGAAACATTGACGTGAAAGGGACACATCAAGTGGCTGCCACCTGCACAACCCAACCAGGGCTGGGGACAAACTGCAACCAAGGTACATACTTTAGCGGGAACCGAACCTGGGTCTCTGAACTGCAGGCCAACACTCTAACTGCTGAGCCAAACTGGCCAGGGCTAATCTCTCCAACTTTAAAATGGTCCATTCTCATTTATCCAGCTTGGGTGATGGAGTGTGCTTTTGGTTGTATATTCATGTTTATCATTCATTGTTAACAGTGTCAGTTATGTGTCTTATATAGTAGTCACCCTTATCTGAGGGGGATACATTCCAAGATCCCAGTGGATGCCTGAAGCCGCAGCTAGTGCTAAACCCTATATAGACTATGTTTTTCCTATATACATGTAACCTATGATAAAGTTTAATTTATAAATTAGGCACAGAAAGATTCGCAACAAAAAAATAAAATAATTATAACTATATTGTAATTAAAGTTATGTGAATATGGTCTCTGCGAGATTTCATCATACTACTCAGAACGGTGTGCAATTTAAATTTCTGGATTATTTATTTCTGAAATTTTCCATTTAATATTTTTGAACTGTGATTGAATGTCGGTAACTGAAACCACAGAAAGTGAAACTGCAGACAAAGAGGGCAGTACTGTATTATATTATGGTATCCAAAAGAATTGTTAAGCATCCCTGCATATAGGGAATGTGCAATCTAGGTGAAACATGATACAAATGTGAACTAATGAGCACAATATTTAATAGTATGTAACAGGTGAGTTAAAAATAGAAGTGAAGCCCATCTGGTGTGGCGCAGTGGTTGAGCGTCGACCCATGCACGAAGAGGTCACTGGTTCAATTCCTGGTCAGGGTACATGCCCAGGTTGTGGGCCTGATCTCCAGTGGGGGGCATGCAGGAGGCGGCCAATTGATGTTCACTCTCATTGATGTTTCTATCTATCCCTCTCCCTTCCTTTCTCTCTAAAATCAATAAAGAAAAAAAAATTTTTAAGTGAAAAAGATCTGTGAACTAAAGATCTTTTCACACCTAAAAGTGACAGTAAATACTGCATGAAAGATGTGTGTCTTTTTCCATATATATATATATATATATATATATATATATATATATACACATACACACACACACACACACACACATACATATCACCCAAGGATATGTTATTGATTTTTAAAGAGAGAGAGAAACATTGATTGGTTGTCTCTCATATGTGCCCCAACCGGGGGCTGAACTTGCATCTAGGTATGTACCCTGACTAGGAATCAGACCTGCGACCTTGGTGTACAGGACAAGGCTCCAAAAAAGTGAGCCACACTGGTCAGGACCCCTTTACTCTTACCCACTTGACTTTATTGTTTCTGGATGGATGATGCCCAGATCTCTAATTGCAGATCTCTGCCCTCTCCAGAGTTATAGTCATTCTTTTGTTCTAATAACATTAGGTATGTAGTCAGTCACTGTTAGGTACTGGCAGTACTTTCTAGCTGCAAAATCTCTTCCTCTAGATGTCCTGATTATCATATCCAAGTCATTGTGTCTCAAATTTAACTCTTTGCCTTCTACCTCCTATTCATTCTTCTTCCTGCATCCCTATGTGCTAGTGAGTATGCCAAGAGCACAGCTCTGAATCATCATCATCATAAGTTCTTATTATGTGCTATTATTTTTTGAATAACCAAAATTTCTTAATCTCTTTTAGAGGTTTCCAAAGTATGGTCTCAATGCAGCACTCCTGCATTATGTCCCAATACCCTCACCACTTAGTCAACAGAACCTCTTATGAATCCCCGTGTTGGTTTCATGTTTTCCCAGTTTTCTTTGCTTAAAATGTTCCCTTTTCTTTTCCTTTAGTATTTATTCTTCCAGACCTAATTGATATGGTAATTCTGGAGCCTTCTGGTTCCTTCAAGGAGTAAGTCCTTTTTTTTCATGGTGAAACTCATTTAATTACTATTTTAAAAAATCTTTATTGTTGAATGTATTACAGATCTTCCTCATTTTTACCCCATTGACCCCCTCCTCCCCACTCCCGCCCCCCTCCCGTCTTTTCCCACACTATTGTCTGTGTCCATTGGTTATGCATATAAATTCTTTGGTTTATTTCTTCCCATCCCCCAACCCCTTTCCCTTTGAGGTTTGTCAATCTAGCAATGAATTTGTACTTCTTAATCCCCTCACCTTTTTCACCCATTCCCCAACCCCCCTCCCATCTGGCAACTAACAAAATGTTCTCTGTATCTATGAGAATGTTTCTGCTCTGCCTGTTCATTTTGTTTGTAGATTCCATTGTCGATAGATATGTATTCATTGCCATTTTGTTTGTTCATATATTTTATCTTTTTCTTCAAAAAGACCCTTCATTTCATATAATAACAGTTTGGTGGTGATGAACTCCTTTAACTTTTTCTTGTCTGGGAAACTCTTTATATGACCATTGATTCTAACTGACAGCTTTGCAGGATAGAGTAATCTTGGTTGTAGGTTCTTGCTTTTCATCACTCTGAATATTTCTTGCCACTTCCTTCTGGCCTGCAAAGTTTCTTTTGAGAAATCAGCTGACAGCCTTATGGGAACTCCCTTGTAGGTAACTAACTGCTTTTCTCTTGCTGCTTTTAAGATTCTCTCTGTCTTGAACCTTTTTGCATTTTGATGATGATGTGTCTTGGTGTGGGCCCCTTGGGGTTCATCTTGTTTGGGACTCTCTGTGCTTCCCGGATTTGTATGTGTGTTTCCTTCACCAAGTTAGGAAAGTTTTCTGCCATTATTGTTTCAAACAGGTTTTCGATTTCTTGTTCTCGGTCTTCTCCTTCTGGCACCCCCAAGATGCGAATGTTGGCACGCTTGAAGTTGTCCCAGAGGCTCCTTACACTATCCTCATTTTTTGGATTCTTTTTTCTTTTTGCTGTTCTGATTGGGTGTTTTTTGCTTCCTTATATTCCAAATCAATGGTTTGCTTCTTGGATTTATGTACTCTACTATTGAATCTTTGTAAATTATTCTTTATTTCAGTTAATGCCTCCTTTATTTCTGACTGTACATCCATCATTTCTGACTGGTCTTTTTTTATGCTCTTGAGGCCCTCACTGAGTTCATTAAGCATCCTTATAAGCAGTATTTTGAACTCATCATCTGTTAGGTTGCTTATCTCCATTTCGCCTAGTTCTTTTCTTGGGGTTTTGTTCTGTTCTTTCATTTGGGACCTGCTTCTTTGTCTCCTCATTTTGGCTGCCTCCCTGTGTTTGTTTCTGTGTATTACTTAACGAGAGGTATGGGGCTATCTGAGACCAGATGCTGCTTGTTTGAAAGAATTTAGGAAAACCTGAAGCAGGATCCAAGACAGGCAATCCTATGGTTAAGCAAATGCCAACAGCTTGGGTGGGCCTGAAAGTTGGGTGGGCCGGGACCTCAGGGAGTCACCAGGGCGGGGCTACCAGTGTGAGCCAAGTTGCTGGAGTCCCAGATATGGCGGCTGCCGCCCCAGGGAAGGGCTCACCAAAGGAACAAAGGCCTCTGACAGCACCCCTGTCCCGGAGAAAGCCCCCTCTCCAGCCCTAGCTCCAGTGCCAAACAGCTCAGTTCTTCCCTGTATGTCTCTGGCGCCCCTCAAGCTGCCTTCCCTCCAAGCTTAGAGGGATAGAGTCCGATAAGTCCATGTGCGGGCCCTTTATGGAGCTGCCTGGGGCTCCAGCCACGTCAGCCCCCCCTGACCCTCAGTTCCTGCTGGTTTTTCCAGCCAGAAGTTATGGGGACTTCTCTTCCTGGTACTGGAACCCTGAGCAGGGCGTCTGGTGTGTGACGGGGACCCCTCAGTCCTCAGGGAGGACCCTCGTAGCTGAGGTGCCCTCCTGATTCTTATCTGCCACACGTGGGTGTGGGACCAGCCGGTCTGCCTCCGCTCCTCCTACCAGTCTCCATGTGGCTGCTTCTTTAATTCCGTAGTTGTAGGACTTCCATTCAGCGTGATTTCAGGAGGTTTTGAATGATGGTTGTTCTGTAGTTTAGTTGTAACTCTGATGTGGTTGTGGGAGTACGTGATACCGTGTTTACCACCCCCGCCATCTTGACCGGAAGTCCAAGGAGTGAATTCTGTATTTGAATTCACATAGCATTTTCATTTGATCTCTTATTGACAATTATTAGTTTACATGTCTTTTCCTCACCCCTTGCTCAGTACCTAACACAGTGTGCACTCTGAACTTATTGAATAAAGTAACGTCTTACTGTAGACTAACCTTGGAATGTATTTCACAGAGGAAAGAACAAGACCAGTGATTTTCAACCAGTGTGCTACAAGAACTTTTAGAACATGCAATGTGTGACTATTTAGTCAGGGGCACTGACTTCTTTTCCCTTATATTGTCAAATAAAAAAATGACAACAGCCTCTCTTCCTCGGTGCTGCCTACAGAGTTGGCAGCAATCTCCTACTTGGCACCATGGCTGCCCTCAGACCCCTTGTGAAACCCAAGATTGTCACAAAGAAGACCAAGAAGTTCATCTGGCACCAGTCAGACCAATATATCAAAATTAAGCAGAACTGGCAGAAACCCAGAAGTATTGACAATAGGGTGCGGAGAAGATTCAAGAGCCAGATCTTGACGCCCAACATTGGTTATGATGGGAAACAAAACAAAACACATTCTACCCAGTGGCTTTCATAAGTTTCTGGTCCACAACGTCCTACTGTACTGAGATTGCTC